AGAAGTTGTCCCTTCAAGTTCCTTTGTTGAACGTCCAGAGACGGACTGACACATCGCGAGTCCTGGAAATGGAATGGTTAAATTACAATGCCACACGTTTGATATAATGATTGAAGTTACTGGATTTCGATCTAAGATGAGAGATTTGAGGGGGGAAAAAAGAACTCATTCCACAAAACCGTCGATCAATAAAAATTGAAATAATTGAGGGTAATTTTAAGGGAAATTCTTCTCGCTCAGAATCAATGACAAGATCCATGGCGATGACATCCGATGAACATATCCAAAGAATGACCGCTTCTGGACTTTTTATTCATCTTTGGACGAATGGACTGTCCGCGGACGAGTTTTGGATCGCCCTGGTTACTTGGGAATAATTGGACTCTTGACAGCAGAGGGAAACAGTCCACTCAGAAATGGCGATAGGGTCGAAAGTGCTACTTTAATCAAGACCCTTCGCCGTGTTTTGAAGATAGGAAAGATGGCAAGAAAACATAAGAAATATATTAAAGAAAATCCGGATGAGAAACAGATGGAATGCAGTCAATCAGAGTTAAATAGTGCGAGCGTTCTGATCCGGCGTTTTTCGAGGATCTCAGGTCCCGATAATTATTGCCTCACGGTCGCGGGTAGTCTGATTCGGAAGGATCGACTTCCGAAAGTGAATTTCTCCTGATCGAGGAGTTGGAAAAGTCGTTGGTTCCACTTTCCCAGGCGCACTTTCCGAGTGTCCTCGCGGGGGCAGGCTTATAATGCATCCGTTCGAATCGCGAGTTGTCGGATCCATGCAGCGGTAATGAGGGTGAGAAGTGGAAGGCATTGATGAAATCGGCTACTCCAGAGCCCAAGGGCAACTCTCACCCCTTTCTTTGGGGGGTGGGAAGGGGGGGGGGGGGGGGGGTAGGGGGGGGGGGGGGGGAGTTCTTTTTCCTTGCAGTTTGCCTCCTGGGGGAATTCCAAGATGTACGGAATCCTCCAAGTTTTCCTCCCTTTCTCAAAGGCGTTCCCTGGTGAGCTTCGATGCCGTCGATGGCCTCCTGAGCAGCTTTCGAGATCCTCCGCTACTATAGATGGAAAAAAAAAATAGAAATGAAGTTTTCCCTTTGAATTCTTCAGGGAACAGAAAGACGAGGCCGTGTCGACGCCGGAGCATACGTTATCCCCGTCGACGAGCAATCGACCCTGCAGGCGTCGTGTTTCCCCCCTCGTCCCGCACGACGGTGGTGAGATGCAGCGATTCCGTGCGCGGATCTACTCGGTCGCACGAAGACGGCCAGACCTTCGCCTCATCGTAGGGGTTCTGTCCGGGACAGAACCCCTCGTAGGGGTTCTGTCCGGGACAGAACCCCTGCGTTCGTAGACGATGGACTGTCTGTCGTTCTGCCTGACCCGGAAGGGAGAGCAGCATGGGGGAGGAGGAGGCACGGGGATGGAAGGGGAGGAGATGAGAGGGGGAGAGGGGGAGAGGAAAGGGGAGGGGGGAGGGAGAAGGAGAGAAGGGGGGAGGAAGGAGGCGAGGAGAGGGGAGGGGGAGGAACGGGGAGAGGAGAGGGGAGGGGGGAGGTGGAGTATGATGAGCTCCCATTGGGGTTTGGCATTGCGTCTGTCACGCGAGGCATCAAAGGGATTGAGGGCACGCGTGTAAAAAAAAAATATTCCGTAAGCACTTGAACACTGCTGCCGGTGTGTTCATGAATCTCCTCAGAGAGGAGATTCATGCAAATATGACTGCGTAACGTTAGAGGTACTTTTCAACTTCGGAACGAGTTCGGTTCGTATGAAAGACGGAGAGAAAAGCTTCTCAAAAATGTGCAGGAAACCGTGGCGCTAGCGAAACTTGAAAAAGCCTACCGATTTTGAGCAAAGGGTCTATGGGGAATGCTTGGGAGGAAAAAAAAAAAAAACGAAAACGGCTGATTCGAGTCCCATCCGCTGGAATTTCTTCAGGATCGACTCGGGAACGAGCAAAAATTTCCACATGCATGAAGCAGTCCCAAATTCGGGAACAACAAAATTAATTTTGTTTCTCGACGTGTCTGAGGAAAAAAAAAAAAAAAATTCTGAATCTCCTCGCGTTACGTACCTTGGTGCAATGAAAGGCCTTCAATTCTTCAATTCCTTCGTTTTGCCGATATTTCCGTGACTTTCGAGAAATACCGTTCGGATTGTTTCAGCGGAACGGCGGCTCGTTTTTTTTTTCCCCGGTCCTTTAAAGGACCTTGAACCTTATAAAGGACCTTGCTCTCGGCCTCTAACAGATCCTCACATCTCATAAATAATCGACAAATATCGACAAAACTTTGCGACGAAATCCGAGGAACCACTGGGAGAAGTTTTCGCCTTCGTCTCTCCAACGGATTTCCGTTCCTTTTCCGTTCCTTTTCCGTTCCTTTTCCGTTCCTTTTCCGTTCCTTTTCCGTTCCTTTTCCGTTCCTTTTCCGTTCCTTTTCCGTTCCTGGTCGATATTTTCTTTATCTCGAACGAACCCTATCTCGGCAAGAAAGTTCCGTTCCATCACTTTTCGGCCATAGACTTATCTATCTATATATAATATATACTATCCATATTTATATTACAGAGTGTCCCATAAATCATTATGCCATTTCAAACTCTAATATTTTTTAAATTGCTACAAGCAGGCCCCTGTTGCTAGTATTGATGAAAAGAACGTTCTTTAAAAAAAAATTTTTTTCTCACGATTATGACTTCGCATCAGATTGAAACGGAACCAGCTTCGAAAGGTTCGAAAGGTCCTTCGAAAGGACATTTTCGTCCCACTTTGTTTTTCTCTCCTAACTTCAGAAAGAAAGCAGGAAAAAAAGATTTAATTTAATTTGCTTTTGCCATCGTGAGAAAAGGCAATCAAGGCTGGAGAAGCGAAGAAAAGTCGCAACCCGGACCAGAGATTCCCAAAAGTTGAATTGAATTGAATTGAATTGAATCACGCCAAATGAATTGATTTGAGGAGATTTCGAGGCACTTTCAAAGCGCAGAAATACTTTCGACGAAGATAACTCCAAATGTTACTTCTTTTTCGTATCGACTGTTTTTTCGATCACGCCGAAAAACGATCGAAATTTTTTTTCGATATTTGATCTGCCAGCCTTTGCTCGAGGAATTTCGTGGAGCATGTGGGGCGGGGGTTGCCGAAGATGTTGCGGGGAGGCGACTGTTGCCAGCACGAGGCTTCGAGTTCGACGTGATTCTGCCGGGAATTCCAGCCTTTCGCCGAGGAAGAATCCAGATTCCATCTGGATCTTTTTTTTTTTCGCTTTGCCATCGGAAAGAATTGCACCGGATTGCCTCCCGATGAGGTTGCCCCTTTCCTCCGAATGAGGTTGCCCTTTCCTCCGAATGAGGATGCCCTTTCCCATCCGCTCGATGAGAAATGTATAGGCTTAATCCGATTTTTCCTCCCGCGGATTCTCACGAGGATGACACGAGGGAGAAGCGGGAGTTCTCCTCGATATTATCTCCTCTCGCGTTTTGCTTTTCCGACAAAAGTCCCCTTTGTTCTTCCCCGTGTTCCCTTCCCCCCCCGCCCCCTGCCCCCCCCCCACCTCAAGAGGGTAAATAGAGATTTGTTTTAGTCGGGGGCATTGGCGTTATCCCTGTTTCGCTTCTCCCACGCCTTTAGGCCGGGAACCAAGATTATTTATAATCCGACGATTATATCTTTCGTCTGGCATGTATTATTCAAGCCACCGCGGATCGAACGGAACGAACCGAGAAGTGAAATGGAGCGAGCACGGAGCGAGCACGGAGCGCCCGGCTGCCAGCCGGAGATTTTCCACTTTCGAATCGATACCGGCTCGTTTCTCTTCATTTCCAGGATTCTACCGATTCCACCAAAAATTCACGCGAATCGTCCGATGCCCATGCATCGACATCGACGATCATATTAATATCAATAATATCAATATTGCTCATCCGAAGTCCTGAGCGGAACGTTTTCATCTTCTCTTCCGGGATCATCGGAGATTTTTGCAATGATTTTTGCTGTCACCGTCGCGAAAACCGGGAAGCCGCGCTTGCTGATCGTTGTTTTGGGTCTCGTCTCCCAAGAAAAATATAAGAAAAGGAAGCTGAGCAGAAGAGCGAGAGCCGCCCTCGGAGCCGCCTTCGGAGCCACCTTCGAAGCCGCCCTCGGAGAGCCAATCAATCCGCATCACCGAAATCTATTAAGCTCTCCTGGCGGATAAGTCCCTTAATCACGTTTTTGGCGATGGTCCTCGATAATCAGCCAGAGAGAGAAATTAAGGGAGGGAAAAGTGGGGATGGTCCAATCGATTTCTTCCCTGGACTTTCTTCAATTGGTCCGATTCATGCCAAATGGTATTATCTCCCAAATAATCAGTATAATAATTCTAAAATCGATTCCTTCCGTTCGCTGGAAATTACTCTTAGTAGGAAATAACGGAAGAGAGAATTCGTAAAGAGATTCGAGGAATTTCTGCCGTTGAAAGACCATCGAACGATCGCAGAACGATCGCAGAACGATCGTTGAATGACGACGATCGAACGACGCATTTCGTCACTCACGTCGAATCTAGAAATAGAAATGATGGAAACTATCGGAAATATTTAAAGGCCGGCCGGTCAAGATGAGGTTCCGGGCTCTCATCAGCACATTTTGCATAGCGTAAAAGGTTGCTTATGTTACAGCAATTTTACAGCAATGTTCAGCATTTGGCCAGCATTGAATTGTCGACGTCATCGATTCCTCATTTTCTAAATATCGAACAGCACTCAGATGACGTCGTATCACCGGAATCTTCCGTTCTACTTGGCTCGAAAGTACTCTCGCGAGTACTTCCAACGCTTATTCCACGCGAGGCTCTAACTTCCTCTATCGGATGAGAATCCCAGATGATTTGTTGAATCACGCACCCGGCCGTCCAGCCCTGGAATCGCGTGCCTGGCTTCATTTTCTCGGCGGTCTCTCTTGACTGTCTTATCACCCGCATGTCCCTCCTCTCGAGTCGAGCACTTGCCGGCGAATGAAGATCCTTCTCCACTACGGAAGGGGTGGGGGAGGTGGAGGTCATTGGAAGTTTCGTCGGACCTCCGGGTTGTCTCTTCTATTGGGGGATTCCGATGCCTTTCTTAGACTTCCTCCCCCTGAGGGAAAGATCGGGCTCCGTAGAAATAATCCGGGGAGCACGTTTCGGAGGTATCGGGGTGAGAGTCGCTTAATCGCCGTCTCGCTTCGATCGGTATAAACTATTTTCTGTCGAGAATGTTTCGACGATTAAGCATATCTGCGATGTTGATGTCGGTTTGTTGAGACGACGTGAATGACTCCACGTTAAAATAGCTTTTAAACTATGGCGAAGGCAAAGCAGAAAAAAAGAATTACACTTAATAACCTCCAAACGACTTTATTCACCCATGAGTAATTTCTGTGTGCTGAAAATGCGGTTAATTACGATTAGTCGGCATTTCACTGCTGTTGATTCATCGATGGTTTGTCAACTTCAACCAGATCTGCACATTTCAGCACACTGCAAACGTAGACGCAACGTTATTGTGCCGGCTCAGTCTGCTCTCACAAGGTCAGAGAAGTGAGTCACAAGTGAATTGCATTTTGCTGCATGCGACAGCGCCCCATCGCATCGTGACAGCACCCCATGGCATCGTGACAGCACCCCATGGCATCGTGACGTTCGACTTTCAGCCGGTAATCCCCGGTCCTTCACCCGGGGAACATTGTGTCCCCGATACGGGACAAAGGACAATGCACAGAATGTGCATTCTTCTCCGACTCTCTGCACATTAAAGTATTCCTCTCGTTCGTGTGTTTGTTATCTTTGCTCCCCGCCGCCAAGGATATTCACCGTGCCTGGTACCAGGCCATACGTAGATCCTTTTCCATCGTTTCAGACCTGCGTGATGTCTGCCACACATTCTTGGAAGGCTCTTTGTGAACGCCTCATAATAGGACCGATCGTTATATTGACGTTTTCTTGGCCCATTATGTGTTAAGTTCAACGGGGAAGAAAAAAATATTCCGCTCTTAAATAATTTATTGAAGAAATTGAGCCAATTTTCTTCATTTTAATAAGTGGTTGCGCTTGCAAGGAGTAATGCTTGAGAGAACATTTTCCATTGTGCTATCCCATCAGCCCATCACAAAGAAAATGTTGAGAAAAGCCATGCCGAGACAATTGAGGTGAATATTCGTATTACTATATTTTTAAAACCAAAATTGAGGGGGAAATGTTTTATACATTCCCTAAATGGCCCAGAAATCCTCGATTTCTTTCAACCAGGCTCAAGCCTTGTAAGAGAAGCGAGAAGGTGAGGGTGAGTTCATGGATTCGCCGAGTAAGAGCCTGCCTTTTGCCTTTTTATCTGGCTGACGGTGAATCACCATGTCATGAGCTGTGGGAATCGTTGGCATGTCTTTACAGTGGGAGCACTACCTGATACATCCCACCTGGCTTGTATACACATGCTCGTTGTCTCCCACGCTGCCCAAGGAGTAAGCAGACGATACGAAGTCATGGTAATTGGAGGCCAATCGCGCTAGGGCAATGTCAGGCGCAATATGGCGAGCCTCAGATACCATGCACAGCAAGACTCCTGACTCGCGAGGTCTCGTGTTGTCTAAGCTTATCCAACCCTAGGCTTAATGTTAAAGTAGGTCTATTTCTTCGTAGACTGCATCTTATGCAATTTGGTCAAAGTCAAGAGCAGAACGTTAATCCCAATAGAGAAAGAGACATGGATAACAATGACTCGTCGGGCAGTGAATGCGTGAAGCGAATATGATGCGGTGACTACTTACCATGGATAGCTTTAAGAAAAAGATAGATGCGTTTATAGGTTAAAAAAAAAGGAGGAGCAATAAAGCAATGATATGTAAGGAAGTGAGGGAGGCGTTCCCACCAAACACATATGCAGATGGTTAGGCCTTAGAAATGGGGAAAGGGACTAGGATGAGAGCTTGACTTCGACTTGAGATGTCAGTGTGGCGAGAAACATCCTTTGCGACATCCACGTCATCAAAATCTTGAACTTAGAAGAATACTAAGGCCATTCATTAAGGTTTATACTCATGGTACTAATGGGCACCATGTGCAAGTGCCCAATGAATGGACCTTTACTAGTTAATCCTTTCCAACCTTCCCCACCCTTATAATAATTTCATCTCCAACCGAAGTAACTTAATTGTTGTGCGTTTGTCTTTTACCTACCTGCCCCTCTTCCACTATTGTCATTGGTTCCACTATTGTCATTCTCATTTGAGAAATATCTATGACCCCAAATGACTCAAGGCCATGAGCAGCATTCCAGACTGATCAAGGAAAGTGCTATAACATGTCAATGGTAGAATGTAATAATGAAGTAAGGAGCACATGAAAATGGAAGTAATAGCCTTTCAATAATTCTGTCTGGAGACTAAATTTTGCTTGAGTGAAAGAACTGGGGATATGCTACCAGAATTCAGCCTTCACCAATGGGGTTTCATACCCAGAAACAGCAGTGCTGAGTGTTCCAAGGTCTCCCTTCCCCATTTATACCAGCACTTGCATTGCACTTAGAAATAAGTGCCTGATTTGCTTGGTTTCAGACTTGGTTCTCCTGCCATCAGAGCCATGCTCACTGGACCTCAAATCCCTCAAATCTAGGATAGAGCATCTTCTGCTGTCCTAATACCTGGCTGATTTGGCCCATTATTGGCTATAATTGGCAGAAGCTTCATAAAATGCTGGCTCGCTTCTATCCTGAATGCACTGCTGCCAGGATGAAATTCAGTCTTTAAAATTCTGGATAAGTTTCTTTTGAGAAATTCTGTTTAGTATAACCAACATATCAGGATGGATCCTCTGCAAGGATAGAGAAGTTTAAGTAAGCATATCTCAGGCTCTGTTCCCTGAATGATGTAGTGGAAACAAAATAGATGTCATATCTCCAGAGTATCTACAGCGTTTCAGCAACCTTTGGCCCATCTTGGGGCCAAATCAAAATCTTCATAGATGGCAAACCCTCTCAGGTTTCTGTGATTGTTTATTTTCTCTCTCCCACTAATGATTACAAATGCCCTGTACTGACCAAAAGAATCAGGTTACATATACAGAGGTTGAAATTGAGAATTGAGACTTGTGTGGTTGAAAGTTCAGTCCTCATTTATAATACATTGCAGAGAGCTGGGATCAATGAGACCCTTCAGGTCCCATTGCTATTTCTTTCAGATTGCTATATATCAAGTTTGTTGATTTTTACTATTTTTTCTTGTCTCCTGAGACTCCCCAAAAAGTTCCTCAGTCCAAGATAACTTGCAGAATACCTGCCTGTCAGTAGACTTTATACAAGGTGAAGGAATGATGTGACACTTTTTGATGAAAAATTTGGCATCCAGCTAGTTGAGCTTGAGTTTTTTGTACTGGATATATAATGTTATTAGATGCTCTTGAGTATTTTTTAAGTGGAACTCAATTTGGCTCAGATGGGTGGTCTAGAATATGAATGAGTGGAATAGCAGATTCAGGAAAATGTGAAATGCAGAAAGTCCTGGGCTGTAAGCCTATGGTAGTCCCTGTATTCTTATAATACATTATTTGTCTTTATTATTGGCCTCTGGGCCAAGAGTTGGGACTAAGTCTAGTTAGTTTTTTAGATTTATTTATTGTAGATTTATTGCTTTCATGATATCTCTTGTGTGCAGGTCTTCTGGGCAATAATCCAAGGTCCACCTCAAAGGAGAAATATGGTTGCTACTTATAAGTCATAAAACCCAAATTGAGTATGTGACTGTAGTGGAAGAAATCATGAGAGTAGGCTGCCTTAACCATAAATGAAATTACTGGTCATTTGATAAGTTTCTGTTTGAATACTCATGACTCATAGCTTACCCTATGTCAATATATCAACTTGCTTTTACTTTTTATTGAGTTTGTTTCATTGCTTCCTATTGTGTGGTCATTGTGTTCATATTGGACTATGGGAGTAATCAATAAACCTTTTTCATGTTACATCAGCCAATATATAGTTGACAGTAGGGGTGTAGTATTCGCAAAACCAGTTAATTGCAGAACAGTGTATTGTGGTTTTCAGATTGGTATCACCTGGTCATTTTGCCACAAATATTTTTTTTGCTGCAATATGGTTGTGGCAATTCTGTTGCCTAGTGGTACCATGTCTCCATGATTAAAATTATGGTTAGGTCTTGTCCAAAGCATTTTAGGATAGGCTGAAGCCTGCTGTACACTATGTTTCTGTGATAGAAGTCTGCAATTACTGCTTTAATTGCAGGAATGTGACCTTGTACAGGGGATATATAATTGCAAATCTGCAATTACAGATACAATATAAAATTTTAGGAGTAGAATATGTCCTGTTTTACTTGTAAATTCAATGCAATTCAACTATCAGTAGTAGCCTTTTTTGAAGCAGCTTCTGATAGGCATGCATCAGGTTGTGCCTAGCAAATATAATTTACAGGTAGATATATCATCCCTTACTTGAACTCATTTTGAATGAGAGATATTTATCCCATGGGAAGATGGTATTCATAGATTAATCAGGTTGCCATAGAGTAGACCTAGAATTGCTAAAATATAATATCCCATAGATGAAGGTGTCTGGGTCTCTATCTCTTCAGTAGCTTTCATTTGATCATCCACTTCCTACTCAAAACTCCAGTTCACTTGTAGTCATGCTGGTTGACACTGAAAACAGCCAAGATTATCAACTAATATTGGTATCAAAACTAACCAATCCCATGTAAGGAAATATGGTCAACTGACATTCTTGCCTAATTTTCATTAAGACCTTGCAGCTGTTTCTTCCAACACACAATAGTATGACATTTATTGCTGAATGTTGAATGCAAAATGGTTTTCCTCATTTTTGCAGATGTGGTGACACTAAATTCAGGTTTTATTTTTGCCAGTGTTGAATCTGATGCTCAATTTCTCTAAGAGCAGACTTATGTGAATGGGCAGTTCTGCAACTTGCTTGCTTGCCTTTCTAAGGGGATAAATGCTAGGCATACTTTTCTGATATCATGTCTGCCAATACAACATTGATTGCCTCGCCAATGCACTCCAATTCATCCACTGCATCGGAAGATGAAGATGATGTCACAGCACCAAGAATTGAAGGCTGTGGATTAGGAGTTGCTTGTGCTGTCCTCATCTGTCGTCCCAATTCTCATCCATTTGAGGTAGTCTAGGGACACATTGAGAATTCATTTTTTTATCTGAGATTTAGCATCCCTTTATTCCTGCATCTTCCTTATTGAATCTGTAATTATTCTTAAATAGGAACGCACAGTGCGATTGGATCAACCGGTGAAAATTGGTAGATCTGTGGCCAGATGTAGACCTTCACATGACAATGCCATATTTGATTGCAAAGTCTTATCAAGGAATCATGCTTTGCTTTGGTATGAAAAAGGAAAGGTGAGTTTGGTATATGTTTGCTATAGATGACTGATTGAGATCTGTCCTTGTGTTGGATATATTGAGAATTCTGTGCATGCAGTTCTTCCTTCAAGACACCAAGAGCAGCAATGGAACGTTCGTTAACAACCAGAGGTTGAGCAAGGGCTCTGAGGAATCTCACCCTCGGGAAATATACTCAGGTGATATTGTACAGTTTGGAGTGGATGTTGTGGAGAATTCTAAGAAAGGTGAGTCACTTGGGCCTTGCTCTAGTAATACATTTTTCTAGCCTAAGGACAGATGATTATTTAATTTCAGCCCTTTCACCACAACACCTGTGTATACTCATTTTTGAATATCATCTTCCCAGCATGGGTCTCTGTAATACCACACTTTCTGTTATTTCTGTACTTCATCCTTAAAAATCATAGTTGCTTTACTCTGGGAATGCTAAAAGTAAAAATTCACACCAAGGGGTTATTATGCCTTTTAAAACTCCACAGTGAAATGGTTAATTCATCATTGGATAAGTGCTTGTAGATCTGTTGAAATGTATGTTGACCCAAAGATTTCACTATGTATAAGTATGTACATTATGTACTAGTTGACTGTTAGGCATATGGAATAGGAAAATCAACCTTTTTTCTTTATTCCAGTAGTAGCTAATGAAAAAGTTTCAAAATTGGAATGAGTGGAATGGGAATAGTTCTTTGTATTCTTTAACTATGTTAAAACACCTGCAAAAGAAGAGTCAATCATCATGGAAAACTTCATTTGTCAAGTCCCATCTAGCAAAGGGAATAATTTTTTTTGGCCTAATTGTTGCATTTTCTTACCTGCACAAACATGCTCCTGGGATTAAAGGGTTTTTAAATTCTGCATTTAGAGTTAGCTTTGATCATTTTGTATTTGTATAGTTCATCCAGAAAATAAATAAACAGATGGCTTTTGAAAGAAGTCAAGAAGCAAAGGATACAAGATTGTTGGCTAATGGTCACATTTATTATTTCTTCCTTTGGCAACTGAAGCTATATTTTGTGCTTAGTCTCATATAGCCTCCTAGCATCCCATTCCGAAGTTTCCTGTTAGATTCTTATTTTAAAAACCAAATTTGTGATGCATGGAACATCTCTCCCAGATGTCTTTTCTGAAATATTCTATAACTTATGTTAGCCATTAGTTCATTTAATGTGATTCAATGTGAATTATCTCCTTCCAGTGACCCATGGCTGCATTGTAGCCACAATGAAGCTTGTTCTTCCAGATGGGAAGGAAGCCAAAGCTAGGTGAGTTCGTACCAACTTTTTTTTTTGGATTATTTGATCATCATGTATGTTATTAAATGCAAAATTCCTCTTGCATGGAAAGGTTCTCATTTGATTTTTTTTTGCAGTCCTTCTACGTCTGTCATGCCCTCCTTGGCTGGGTCTGTATCCACTAATGAGCTCTATGAGCTCCACCAATATATTCAGGTGACTGGGCCCTGGATATACCAGGAGACATACTCTTCTATCATTCGTCCGGATCTACTCATGGGCAGCTAAGCATCCCACTTCTACCCCTTTGCATTGATTGCATTTTTCAGGAAGCAACGCACAGGGAGCAGCAGATGGAGAATAAGTTGCAAGCATTGCAAAAACTCATAGCTGCCATTCAGGAGGCTGGAGAAAAGGGTTGGAAATCGTTGATTGATGAGGATCGGCTTCTCACACGAGTTGAGATCCTTGAGAGTCAACTCTATCTTCATTCCAAGGTGATTGTCTTTGAAATGTTTCCAAGAGCTGAATCTTCTAATCTGGTCTTGAGGTGATCTGATTTCCAAGAGCTTTCCTTGTCAGGGTCAAACTGAGGACAAGCTGAAGGAGAGATTGATGGAGTTGGAGGAGGAAAAGAACTTGTATCAGAGTACAGCCAAGGACTCAATTCGCAAGAATCTCCAGGAAAAACTGGATGCTATCCTTAAGCTTTCTGTCTCTGAACGGTTTGTTTGTCTACATTTTGTAAATGCTTGCTTTTCCTGCTTGGAATTGAAGTGAAAGAAGTGAAGTGCCTCCCCTTGCAGTGCATTGCAGTCAACAGAGGACGAGTGCAATCACTTGCGAACTATGAATGACCAAATGAAGGAGGAGATGTCCAAGATCCTTGAAAAACATGAAGAGCAGGTCAATAAGACCAAAGAACTGACTACAAAGTTGCAGGTGATTGTAACTGAAGAGACTAGGTGCCTACAGGGTGGCTAAGAAAAAATAAAGGAACATCTTTTTTAAAGGGGAATTCTTTGAGATCAGTTATCCTATACCTGTAAGAAGTTTTTGAGGAAATTAGATCTTTTTTCTATGCATATGCATTTTTAAAAATCAGTTTATCGAGTCAAACTTTAATGCCAATGTTGCATAGGATTTCATGTCAGTTGGAGAAACACTGCCAAGACCTTTATAAGCAGTATGGCATGTCCAGTGATGTAACACCAATTCCACAGTTGGCTTTAAATTTTATTTAGAACAATTAATTTCCTCAAGTGTTATCTCATTGAACTCAAATAGAGTAGCAAAACTTCATGAAAAAATTCATATGCATAAGGTAACTGGTCTGAAAGATAACTTCAGAAAGATCCTTTTTTTTCCTCAGCCACTCTGTTTATTCCAATGTTAAAAAAATACACTTGTGCTATCATTGGAAGTATTACTTAAGGTGATCCATTTGCTTTGCAACAGGAGCTAGAGAAAGAGATTGAGGAGAAGCAAAAAGCCCTTGATGAGGAGGTGGAGAAGATGCAAAACCATGAGAATGAACTCAAGCATAACCATGAGAATTCATCCATCTCAGAAGGTGCTCATGGTTTATTCTGCTTATCTTCTTTTTATTCACCATGCCAATGACCTGTCATATTCCTCAGATCATCAATGTTCAATTACCAATCATGATGTTCTGTGGTAGGCCAGTACAAATTAAGTTTATGAAAATCCCTACAAGGCCTATTTGTACCAATGAATCAATTAGAGACTCAAACTTGATCCTCTTTGACTCCAACATTTCAATCTCAATCAGCTGATACTGACCATTCCCCCACATTGGTGACCACACCTGAAAATTCCTTCATCAGCTGAGATTTATGGTCAGATTGCAATTTACCATGACATCTCTGATTAGCTAATTCAGCTGGATCCAGACATCTATGGTATCAACTTTTTTTTAAAATTTTCTTCCCTATCATTGTATATATTAGAGAAGTATTGATAACTGGACTTTGAACCATTAGGAATTCAAGTGGATCTGCTCCTTGAGAAGATAGAAGAGAGCATGGATACTGACCTGAAGTCAGCTCTCCGCCATAGCCGGAATGAGGTGGTTGATCTCAAGCAAAAGCTTATCAATGCTGAGAGTGATACCAAAGAGAACTCAAATCGCTTGGTAGATCTCAGTAGTAAGTACAATGTGCCAAATGTTCTTTCACATCAGCAGCACTCTAAGATGAAGTATGTAGCACTAAGTGATCTCCTTTCTCAGGTCAGCTTGAGACTGCTCGAAATGAAGCCAATCGTTATCTGAATCAGCTGAAGATTCTGGAAGGTGAGCTGAAGAAGCCATCACTCATTCAATTTTTTTTCCTCCCAAGTTCTTGAGAGAAGTGATACTTAGTGAAATATTCCTTATTTCAGTGGAACTGGAAGAAACAAAGACACGAAAGTCACTTGCAGAAACACTGGTGAAGGAACTTGAGGGTTCTCTGGAGAAGATGGAGAAGGAGAAGGTCTTCCTAAAGGAGCAGTTGGAGAAAGCACAGTCCAAGGAATCTGTGATTGGAGACAACGTATGCATGCATATTTTCCTGCTGTGAATAGGGTGTGAGAATTCTGAATTTTACTGACACCGCCTCTTGTTTCTTTTTCAAGGTCCATGTGGGATCCCAGGAATTTGATGGGAATGAGGAGAAGTCTAGTTTGGTGAAGGAAGTCTCAGAGCTGAGAGGTCTGGTATCAATTCTTGCATCATCTGATCTGCTCCATAGTTTGTGTATTTGGGATTAGAGGCTTGCTTAACATTATTCAAGTATATCTTTGAAATGCATAAACCTTGGGTTTTGTGAATATCCCTAGTAAAACCATTTTCCTGTCTCCATACAGTCATGAGGGTGGTCCCATCACCCACCCCTCATATAAAATATATACAGGGTGATTCAGAGGCCTTGATGCATGCTGAAGTGCTGCAGCATTCTGCAGCACAGAAGTGACTCTTATTGGGTTTATAGAACCTCACCACTTGCCAGATATACATTCAGTATTGAAATGTAGCTGTATCAATTTGCTTACAAGTCATATGGAATTGGTAAATAAATACTTTTTAAGATTTGTAAATTTCATATTCTTTGGTATACTTCTGATTTGTCAATATTAATGACTTTTTTGTCATCTTAGATAACTTGGCTATGACTAATTTTCATGAATGATGGCATAGCATGCTGGGTGTGAGCCACACTTCACTTTCAAGCATGAAGTTGTGTCCATTCAACAATGAATGGCATGAATATATTTTTTTCAGTCACAAAGTCATGGTCACAATGAGCAATCTTAATTAGCATTCTAACATGCTGATTGATTTTGAGTATGGTCTTCTGTAACACGGCCCCTGTATCTTTTAACTTTCTTGAAGACATTCATCCTTGGTGGATTTCCCAACCCCTTCTGGCTCATATCTAGGAAGAATTGCTCATGAAAGTTTGAGTTTATGCATTTGAAAGGTAGACTAGTCTTAATGTGAGATATACCACTGTGCACTGTTGATGTTTGCATCTGAATGTTTGCTCACCCTAAATATGTCATACAGATATTCTTGAACCTCTTCACTGGTGTTTTTTGTGTTTATTTGTGTTTTCTTTGATTGTGATGGTGTCCCACTAACCTGTGATTGCTGATTCATTGGCAGCTGCTGCTCGCACTCAGAACTTGCACCTAGAAAATGCTCGCTGCATGCTTGTCATTCTTCGAGGTTTGGGTTCTTCTTTCTTCATTTTGATTTTATTATTTCCTTATCATCTCCCATGGTTGGTGTTGATATTTAGGCATACATTGTTGCAGCTGGGGTAGTGCTTTGGATTGTCAGTTGTTTTTGCATTTTACTCTATCTCTTCATGCATGCTATTGAACAGAGCTTCATTCTTTGAACCTGATGACTCACAGAGCTGTTGGAGGAGAGCCGTGGGAAGCGGAAGCACTTGGAAGATATGGTTGACTCCTCCAAGTCCCGCATCGATTCCTTGCAGTCTTCCTTGAAGGAAACAGAACTTCTTGTTATGAAATTTCAGTCCCAGCTTGAGGTTATTCAACCATATAATTCTTCTCTAACATCAAAAGGTATTTTCTAAAAGCTTTTGATAATGATGATCCCCATATATGAATGAATCTGAGTAGGTAGGTGAGAGGGTGGTACGGGAAAAGGAAGTTCGCATTGAGGAACTGAGTGCTGAGGTCCTGGGATGCCAGAAGTCCATGAAAGAATCTCAGAGCCGAATTCATGAACTTCAGGACCTCTTGCAGCTGGAGATCCAGTCCCGAGAGAAGAAGGAACAAATCCTCAACCAGACAAGCCGTGAGATTGACTGCTTACATGAGGAAATGACTTGAATGTGTCCCAGATACTACGTACTGTACATTTCCATACAGAGAGGTTGAAGGATGTGCAGAGGGAGCTGGATGCCAAAGAAAACATGTTGAAGGAATTGCGTGCCAAACTAAAAGGAGCCTTGAACCCTGAGCCTCAGTCCAAACCTTGTGATCGCTCCTCTCAAGTCAATTTGTGAGTCCAGGGATCCCCCTAGATCAGTGGTTCTTAACCTTTTTTGGCTGCAACCCTAATTCTGGTTGCAGGGCTAGCTCAGCAACCCATGCCCTCAAACAGTTCACTTGTGATAAATGATATGTGAAAGTTCAGACAGTTGCTAGAGACCCTTGGCAACCCACTCAAAATGGCTTGACCACCCAGGGGTTAAGAACCACTGCCCTAGATGATAAGCTGTCAAGGTGCATATGTTTGTTTTTACCCTGCAGTGTTACTTTGTATTTCTTTGTTGCTTCTTCTGTCAGACATGAGAATTCAAGCACTGAAATGCTGGTCCCACACGCAAATGCCAGTCTAGTCGATCAGGAATCAGAAGCGGAGCGTCTTCAAGCAGAGGTATCATTAGCTCTTATCTAATGAGAATTGCTTTGTGTAATACCGTACTGTGCAGGTTTATTGTCAGAAATACTATTATCCCAAACTGAAAGCATTGTTCTGTGATTTGTTGCAGTTGGAGTCAATGAAGGAGGAAGTGGTGCATTTGAAACAGAGGTACGCTGAATGCAATGAAGAGCGTGCCACCTTCAAGGTGGAAAGGGATCGCTTTGAGACGGACTATAAGGAGATTGCCCGCCACACTGATGTGGTAAAATCCATAGTGTTTCTGGTCACATCTTAGCATGTGGAACTAATGAGATTGTTTTCTTTGCTGTCTGTCTTGTTCTCTTGCTTATCTCTTTTTGAGTGTTTCTCAGTTTTCATGCATTTTCTTTGTTTTCTAATTCCTTCTGAATTAGCAGTGATCAAGTACTCCAAAATAGGACCCGGATGTATTTACATCCAAGCTGAGCCTGTAGTGCTTATACCTTTCTTGAGCATATTACTAGTTCTACTGGTATATGAGTATTAATGGACCATCATCAATTTAATTTTTATTTTGTACTTCTTTAAGGTTGTATTTTCAGGCCATCTGGGGCTGGAGTGAAAAGCATTTCTGCAGTTATTGAATGGACCTATATTTTCACCACAGAAAGAGCGATGCGTGACAATAGCTTGTTTCTGTTCCAGTGGCGCAATTGGTTCATGATCCTGTTGGCGTGCACTGTTTGCATCTTGGCCCTGAGTGTAGTCTCCATGTTGCATGCATTAGAAGATGTTGCCGATGTGGAGGAACTGCCCCTAACAGCTTCTTGAGTCCTTCCTCCTCCTCCTCCTCCTCCTCCTTTATCTTTCCCTAGTTGCTTTCACCATCCTTCTCCATGCACATGTAAAAAGGCTTTCCTTCTTCCTTTTACATTTTGCATATGTGCATCTGTGTATTTGGTACTGTAAAGTGTAGTTAGACCTAGACTTAGCAATTATGATCACCAGGTTGGTTGTCATCTTTCAGTCACAGTTGGTTTTCTGTGACTCAATGTTTTTTGGGGGGAAATCAATCAATTTCATTGTTGCTGAGATATGGTGTTGACCAGATTTCTAACTGTAACTAAGTTATTGTCATGGACTAATGAACCATTTATGAGCAATTGATACTTCATAAGGTAAGTCAAGCTCAAGTGTGTTCATTATGTGAAGAAATTAAGGGTTAAGGAGCAAATTCTCATTGTCACACATCTGTAGGAGTATGAAGAAGAATGAATCCTCTTTCCCCTTGAAAGAGATTCCTTTTTTCCTGCCATGTTGAGCAAAAGTGCCTGTCTCTTCCAGAAATCTGCTTATAATGATGAACAAATTGTTCCATCATTCTAAGGATATTTTTATACCTGCACAAGGTACACTTGTAGACAGCGCTGCACTGGATCATTCATTTTTATTATTTAGCAATGTAGCTTAGTGATCTTAGCCTCATGACTCATTTAGATTAATTGTGACTCTGTGCTTCTGTGAATTCCCTCTGCATATAGTCCTGTAAACTGACAGCTTAGTGGACTGTATGCCATTTGGATGTGTCATTTGGTTGCTGGGGCATACACAGTGACTAAGAAAGACAAAGCATATTAAAAATTAATACACCATTCCAACAACAAGAAAAGATTTAGTGCTCTCCTTGCTCTCCCCCTCACTTTCCTTGTTCATTACTCAAAATTCCACACACCATTCACAATGATTTCCTTATGGTTGAAGGTATCTTAGTTCCCCTTGTTTCAGGATATAATACATGACTGCTTATGTAGGAGTTTCAATAAGGGGATTGAGAAAAGTTGAAAGGGATCATCCTGCCTGCTACCTCTCCACTGCTACGTTTTTCTTTGGAATGGTGTATTATAGATCTGAGGTTCTCAACTTTTTCTTAGCAATGGCTTCTTCAGGCAGCAAGATGTTGGCAACATCCCTGTGCAGCCATGGACAACCATACATAAAATCAGCCTAACTTAAAATTAAGAAAACCTGAATCTCTGAATTCAATTGTGTTTGTTTTGAACTGTCACTTGACGAAAATCATCTGAAAATATTAATTTAAATTATTTTATTTATATATTGCACATGGACATGATATCTGGTCTTGACTCAGGGTATATCAAGCTATGGCTCCATGTTTGAGGACATTCCATGCCTGTCATTTGTAGTGCTTAGACAGGACCTGAACCTTGTATGCTTTTTTTTAAATACATGTCCTGAGTAAGACTGAGGTAGACTTATGCATGGATGGCAGAAGCAATCAGAGACATGCTTATGTGATTACCAAAGCAATTACAGTACCAGCTCAGGTGCAGAACTGTCATTGCACTGGCCACTATACCACTGGGGATATCTCCCTCTGCTGTGTCATAATAATCCAACTTTTTTTGTGAAGTGGAATCTCTCATTTGTATGCCATAGACCCACATGAATAGCCCCAGAGAACTTTGGAAAGTCCTGGATGATTTGTGCATGTGTCACATGGAGATGGGAGGAGAGTGCAACATGGCAGATGTGGCATTTAAATTCTGCCAGCAACTCTGTCTCCTCTGCCTGAAGCAGTTGCTCTCTGTCAACTTTTGTTTCATTAGCTATAAGGGCTAAAAGGGTACTGTCAGTTTTAGTCAAATCAATGCAATATATATCTGCAAATTTTCCATTGTTATCTATGGAAATGGCAGATAATCAGGATCTTCATGAGAACAGCAACATTGATCTGGGTATTATATCTTGATTTAATGAAATTGGATACTTGGAGTATGCAATGAGTCATTTAGATCAAAATTGACTTCTATTATGTCCTGCTAGTACAGTTTTATTAAGAGAATAGGCTGAAGTCAAAACATATAAACTCATCCTTTGGAAGTGGTTCTTCTGAAGAGGTTTGCTGTCCAATCCACAGAGTGCTCCTCAATTACACCAGTGTAGGAGCAATATAACCTGACCTTCTTACTCTCATTTGGTTACAGACCAAAAAAGGAAACCCTTTAACATCTAATGCACCCTTGTCTCCTTGCAGCACCTTTGGGCACCACAGCACACAGGTTGAAAACTGCTATTGTGGACATACCATTAGAAATGAGTGAAAACCATATTTATTCATGATAGAAAAGTAAATTAGTTTTGGATGAAACTGCCAGTGTCTGTTCATATGGAGTGAGTAGTTAGTTTGGAAATGCCATAGTAACAAGAGTGCAGAAATTAGTCAAACACTCCCCAGGTCTTGCCTACTGCAGTTGTGATAGGAGAGACAGGGGAAGAGTAATTTGGTGGCAGCAGGAACCTCTGTGCCTAGAGCATTAGCAGATTGTTTCATTTATCATTCTATCTTGCCATCTCTTATTCTCAATGGTTTGTCTGTAAAATTAAATTTTCAACATTTTGCAACTTTTTTTTAGCCTTCCTCGCTGGTCAGAAGATCATTGACATAGTTTTTGAGCCTGGCAGTCTTGCCATTATCAACTGTTATGATGCTTTCTCAAGTCTTGACTGACACTTGCATGGGAGCATGGATAGAATAAACAAATTCTCAGGCCTCACAAATTCAAATGACTTGTGCTATAAATATTAACTTGTTTTCTGTTTTCCTTGCAGATCACACTCTGCACAGGTATCCCTATCGTGATCCTGCTGGTTTCACTCATCTGTGCTCTCCACCCCTTCTTCTCTGCCATCACTGCCACATTTGAGTCATAGCGATATTCCCTACATCTGACCTGTGAAATCCCATTAACCAATTCTCATGTGCTAATTTCCCCATTTCCAAAAAAGAGTTCCCATTAAGACAAGTGACATGTGATGGATGGCAGAGAATTGCCACGGGCATAAATTTGACGTGAAGAGGAAAAACCCGAAGATCTTGGTTGGGCATTTGCTTCATCCTTCTCTCTCCTTCCTTTTAAGTGTAAATACCTCATGGTGCTATCCGAATTTCTTCCTCCTACACTTTTTAAAGAGCATCCTTGCTGGAAGAGTGTTTTGTTCTTGTACCTCTTCTTTTTCAACAAACATTTTTACACGCTTTCAATGCTGTCATCAGTTCTCTGGAAGTGTTGCTGACCAGCTGAAGAGGTGCCATATGTGATGTTCTTTTTCTATGTTGATGTTTTCTTTTAGGAGAGTTGCCATACTTGTTTCCAGTTTTTGCCCCATGTGAGTATGTTCTTGTTTATTCTGTACTGGCAGCTGTGGCCTCACCTGTTAGTCCTTGGGAAAGTTCAAACTTAGGAATCAAAGTTGATTTTCATTTCGTTTATGCGTTCCTTTGAGTTTATCATGACATGCAAATAAATATTCAGGATTTGCCAGACCACACTACTTTCTTTTTTTTTGTACTGTTGGACCCTTTGTCCAAGGTTGAGCAACATGCAGCACCATCTGCCTTTGACTCGCCAATTTACTAAATATATTTATTTTTCCTCCATTTCCTAGATTTCATTTCTTCTGTGCCTTTTCATAGCCTGTGCAATTTGTATCTCTACTGTTTGCCTGTGCCCAGAGAACCGAAGCATGCTCTACCCTAACCAGCAATTGCAACACCCTGATGTGAATCATCTCAATTTTATAGCTTGGTGCAGCAGGGGGGAATAAAAGCACTGGGAAACCTTGGGTTACGTCTAGCCCAGGGGTGTCAAACTCAAATCGGTCGGCGGGCCGCATTCCTTATCCTGGAGATGCCTGCGGGCCGCACTCATACTTTTTCACCGAAATTTTTGCTAACAGTCAATCCAAGCGGAAATTTCAGCAGGCGGCGGGCCGAATCCGGCCCGCGGGCCGTATGTTTGACACCCCTGGTCTAGCCTGATCGTCTAGGGTAGGAGTGCACAACATACGGCCAGCGGGCCGCACGTGGCCCGCCATGACTGATGGCGTTGTAAGTACTACTATGGCTCTTGCCCTATTGACTACAGCTATGGTCAGCCAGACTGCGGCCCGCGGTATGTAAGAGTCGTAAGCGGCCCTCAGTCTTTTGAGTTGTGCACCCCTGGTCTAGGGAATAGAGGCATTTTTTTGCAGCCCCTTGTTTTTGTGCATTGGCACTAGGATGAAGCAGTCCTTATCCTATCTAGCTGTTAACTCGATAGGGAATTTTTGACAAGTACGTTATTTTCTTAAACGAACAGGGAACCCTGGTTTTGGAACTAACTTCTTGTATCCAGTGAAGAAAGTAAGTGGGAATGAATGGTAATGACTTTCCCACAAGCTTTTTGTTGCGGTATGGGAATGTCGTTCCCTTACTCTCTTAAAAATATTGTTGATGCATGCTTATGCAGTTAATAACAGGGTGCTCTGAGTGTATTGTGATTTAAAGAAGTAAAAAGAAGTCCTTGTGGGGATAGGGGGGATTGTGGTTTGACCCATCAGTCCCCGGTTATATCGTTTCCATACGTATACTGGTTGACTTTCTTCACTGATCCCATCATTGAATGTCCCGGGATAGAGATTGTGGTATTGTTTGATCGGTCTCCAAGCTGTGCTAAGGGACTTATTCTTTCGAGACCAGTGTACCGTGGCTTCAGGTGCATGCAGTCCACTCCGGTACATCTATTCAGTGTTGCCTCCTGGTGGTGGAAAATTCGACTACCACGGCAGAGTACCACCTTTATATTAAACCAATAAAAACATTTTTGTTTTGCTATTAAAAATCCATGCGCGAATGGGTTAAAAAGATGCACTCAACGACTTCCTCCTTTTGCACCTCAATCGCATCTAATGCCAAATGAAAGGATATCCAAATCTGGTCATCTTCGGAAGTAAAAAAAACGCGGGACCATCGACTTGAACGGAGTCCAGGATGTCTTTCCAAAGCCTTTCCAGAAGATTACGCACTAACGTCCTCCCGTATTAACTGCATGTCCTGCCAATTAAATTCTCTTCATCGGAAGGAAAGTGACTGGTTTCATGAGGAAGAAGCTTCACCGTTCACACCGTGTAGCATTGTGTGTATTCAGCACTATGGGGCAGATGTGAATGTGGTCCTCTTCCTCGCATTGTACCACGTAAGAACTCCAAAAAGACTTGACGAAGGACACCCATATGATTTCGAACGTTCCGCTACTGAATTCAGAGGACAACTACGGTACTGTACCGTATAGTGAATTTTGGATTAGTGGATGTCCGAGGCTCTTTTACAGATATGTTTCGATGTGGAAGGACGAGAGAAAGCAACGGTTAGAATGATCGACATGTTATCATGACTCTTTTCTTTTTATTGTCTATATTCTATGAAGAAGATTTAGAATTTGAATCGCCTTGACGAATTCTTGTCCAGCTTACATGACACGGGGCGAAAGAAAGCCAATGCCATGATTTGGTTGAGCGATAGAAATTCTGTATATAAAGACTTAATCATGACGATTCGAACTGTGGAAGGAAACGATGTCTGGAACAAAAAAAAAGCATCCACAAAAATCTCCGACGAGAACGTTAATGCTGGCCGTAGAGTAAGATATCCTCACATTGCAATATGAAAGGTGTTGAGTCTCGTATCAAAGCAGATTCTAAAGAGCACCTGCGTGGCTGGTTGAAGAAGAGCTTCTCTCAATCGAACCAAAACTGAGACAGACTACGAAAGAAATAAAATAAAAGAAGATGCGCGGTTTCTCAATTTAATTCGGAGTTTTTTCAAGACCAACTGGTGGAACTCGAGTGAAAGTTAAACAAGCACAGTTCAAATTGCCTACCATTGAATACAATAGCAATGCAACTATTTTACTTTTCCTGAAACCGTTGAAGAATCGAATATGCTCGCCTCTCCCTCCTGCTACCTTGTTTGTAGACAGTACAGTGCGTCCGTTGGCGTCGGCAGGGTCTGGGAGCGAGCGAATTCCCAGCGCAAGTATTCTCATTATCAGGGTAGGCCTATCCCCTTTTTGGGGCTTTTCACGTAAAGGACGTCGTCAATCGAGTCGTCTTTAGTTGTGAGGACAAGAATGCTTACGAGAACAAGCAAAAATAGAGAGTAGATGGATATTGCGACACTATGAAGCTTTTTACCCTTCCAGGTTAGTGTGGAGAAATCTGCAAGCTTCACTTGTTCAGGCAAGATAGCCTATAACAGCGTCAAAAAAAGTTTAATAGGCTGTCGTAAGACTTGACGCGAAATGGACGCTACGAAAAATCACTGATAAACAGGTGAGTGCATGCAAATATCCCTATGAAAGGAGGCGCCCACGGTGTCACTCTGTATCAAGCTATCTCCCTTAGGCTAGTCACACACTAAAGAGATGCAACTGCGGCTTTTATTGGGAGACAATCTGTCTTCAAAAGTGGTGGCCACTGCTCAGAGAGACATCAATCACAAATAGCTGCTACACTTCAGGGGGAAATGTCAGAAGAGAAAGAAGCATTGCTGCCATAATCCTCAAGTTTGGGGCCACTGTACAGAATGGGGGAAGTAGGGGTCAGATCGAGAGAGAGACATAGGCGCCGAACCCAGGGGGGCAAAGGGGCACGTGCCCCCCCAACTATATTATTGAGGGGGCAACGCCCCTCCAAGAATGGCAAAATTTCAACAAAGGCACATGGAAAATTGAAAACAAAATGCTGCTTCACGAAAGAAATGAAAAATATGATTTTCCTTTCTGTTTTGAGCTCCAACTGGGGGAGATCCCTTAGTCACCCCGTAAGGGTATGGGGTGGAAGGGCCATGCCCAGCACCCTCCCCCCCCGCTCGTCACTATGCTACCTAATAATACTGAGTTACCCCAATGGATCCTGGAATAACTGTGTCATTGTTATTTCAGGGGCAATAAGAACTTGCCCCCCAATATTTTTTAAAAGTTGGCACCTATGCCCCAAAGTGATTATGTTATTCAGTTGGAGGATACAGAGACAACAATGCCCTTAACTGCTCAAACAAAAATGAGCATTCTCATAGCTTTAAAGTTGTATACTATCCCCTTTCTTCTCAGATGGTCTTGGATAAGTAGATGTTGCATCTTTCCATGTACTATTAAATAAGAAGCATGTAATGTTTACATGCTAAAGGAAACTAGAAATATCTTTTTCTATCATTCCTCATTCACATTTGGATGATAATATCTTAGAATGAGCTCTCTATCCTTTATGCTTTTTAAATCCTTGAAAAAACAGCACAGAATTTTTTTGCCGTTGCAAATAATGGGTTGAGTCGAGTATAAGAGTAGGGTTGCCTACTCCTCTTGTCAGATTGTGAGATTTCATATTTGGGGGGTCTAAGTTGGTTATGAGATGGTTTCTGAAAACAGAGGGGGAGGGTGGTGAGACAATTGCTATGTTTTTCCCTCCAATCTGCCCTAATTTTTTAAGCTCTATGTTATATGTGGGAGATATCACCCAAAACCTTATAGACCTGGATGAGTGAAAAGCCACAGGGCCTAGGAACAGCCTTGGATTGGTGTTTCATTGCCTTTTTGTTCCCTCTCTGATTAACCTGGAAGAATCCAGGTCTCCTGGTATACTTTACCAACTGGTTGGGAGAAAGGAAAGGAACTGGGAATCTTGTGGTCAAACTTGGAGAGTTGAAAACCCTTTTATAGCTTTGACCTCTTCAAAATGTGGAATGCTCTACCCTTAAAAAAAGCAACTAGTTGAGCACTATATGTGTGTGTAATTGCACATGCCCAAATTTTTGTTTCTTCTTATAGAAGTTTCTTGGCATGATTGATAAATAGTGCTCATGATCATCAAGCTTGATCCCATCAAGCATCACTCCTGTAGTTTTTTTTCCTATACAGCTTTCTCTTATTTTCCTCAGTGAGAGGAGTAACCTACAGGACTAGGGGATCTTATTGGTTTGTTAGGTTTGGATATGTTATTTCAACTGAAATATAAGATGGACAATTCTCAGACTGATGTATTGTTTGATTTCAGGGCAATGGCAAAGTTCAAGAATAAGCATCATCGGGATATTTGGAGTTATCTGCAAGAGAAGGTGAAGACAGAGTTGCCAAGTGTAGGAGACATGGGAGTGATTACAACCAAGTCTGAAGGGAGGCCAGAATATGTGGAGATCCCTGAGTATCCTGAACTGTTTGATGCATCACCAAAGGGGATGAAAAGATACAATCGGGACCAATGGTTTGCTGAAATCAGGGCCTCCCCAACAATAGAAGAAAAATACTGGGAGATTGCCAAGCAAAAGTATTATGGGCATTACACCTTCCAGTTGAAACCAGATTTTGAGCCATATGGTGCATTGGAGTACATGCAAGGCATCACACGGACACATCTCATCATAGAGGAGCGCCTGCCAGAGGTATATGATGGGCTGGATGCAGAAGCTGCCAATCTTGTTGAACGCATTTCTGATCGCTTCCAAGATGCTCTTATTTTCCAGCTTACCAATCACAAGTGAGATTTTTTGCTTGTATCATTTGTTCTCATATTCATTCTTGTGATGAGTGTTTTAAGAAGTGCTAATGCCACTCTTTGTAATTTGCTATGCAGAAACTCTTTTCTTCCATTTCACTGGTGAGAATTTGTAAAGACTGCAAAAAATGAAAAACTTGCAAATATGTCAGTTGGCTTTGGTTGAGCAAGTATCACTAAAGTAAAATCAAATAATTTAATGTTAAAATAAATTCCTTTACACTTTGTCATATTCTATCATGATTGTGGGAAATGCACATAACTTTATTCATAAAGCACCAAATAAAAATTGAATGCTGGTCCTTACCATTGATGTCTTCATGACTGGAAAGGCTTTTTTTTAATTCCCTCACCATTTATCCAAATTTTGGGCACGCTGCTGGTATCAAGAGAGGAACGTAGCACCATATTAATAAATATTCTCCTCTTAAATCATTAAATTTTTCTATAAAAACCATAAGTCGTATTTGCCAAATTTCCTAGCTATTTCCATTTATTTGTGGTTTTTATCTGCTTCTACCAGAATGGGAGAAGTAGCTCACAAATTGTAAATCCTGGATTGTTAATAGAATGAATAGTAATAGAAATTTTTCAAAATGCTATTACATGTAAGAACAGGAAAAACAAGAATGGGAAGGAACTGATTTACCACTGGAATTTACTGATCATTACCACTTTCAATTCGATGGACATAAATGTACCTCCAGTCCTAACTAGTATCAGACGATGTTGGACACAATAGTACATCCTTTGAACATTTTCACATTTTTACGTAATTTCCCACAATAAAATAGAGACCTTATTCTTGAATTTCCAAAAAAGAGCAAGTCTCTAACATTTTGTGTTCTGAAGTTATAAACTTTTTCTGCAGACTTAAAAAAACTTTTGTCACGCCCTCCAGAGCGAAAGTGTTAGTCCTGACAACAGCATAAACTGGAAATAATTATGGACTTTCAGTCAGCTGTGTCTACAGGGAATCAGGCTCAGAAGTTTGTCGGCTCACACTTCTCTTTCCCTGTTGGAAGCCTCTATTTGAATGCATGATTAATTTGATGGGGCATTCCATGATAGAGAAGCCTGGTATCATAAGCTCTCACTTCTAGTCATGCATATGGAATTATGGGGGAGTTGTGAGCTCCCATTTGAGGGATATACTAGCTTCTGCTGAAAGTGATGGAGTAACTGCACAAAAACCTCACCACCTGGTAAGCTCACAAGCAATGCTCCTTCATCATTTGCTTCTTTTATATTTCATTGAAATTATTTATGCTGATCACTCACCATATAATATTCTCTTTATTCTCTTGATATAGTTTTTGGCATTGCTTTCTTGATAATTTTGTTAATATTATTTTTATTATGACTAATGATGTAAATCATGCAGCATTTTTACCTTAAATGGAACTAGAAAGACAAAAGACCAAATGTATTATATATTTTTCAGGGAAAACAAGTCGCACAATGCAGTTGAGACTAGTCGTGCCAAAGCTCAAGTTGTCCTCCAGAGCCTAGTAGAGGTTCTCATAGCAGAGCTCTGCTCTGAATTTCCTCATCTGCAATCTGCCTCTGTGAGTACTTACTTCTTCCCATTCCTGAAATTGGTTTTCCCATTCAAGGTCTCTATACTTGTATAAGTATGACATCTCTTTATGGTGCTTTTGAGAATTGTCTCTTCTCAGTTGATGGTCTTGTCTAATGGCAGAATCAAAATACATTTTGTCACCAGGTGGACATCTTGCCAAGAGTGGGAGCAACTTGGGTAGCTGGTGGACTTGGTCCACACAGGTCATTACGGAGGCTACGAGAAAAAGTGTGGAAAAAATCTGAGGAGGAGATCAATGAACCGGTCTCTTGCCACTTTCAGGTAGGACATCATTGCCTCAATAATGACATACCATATGCTGCTTTGCATTAATAACAAGTCTCTTCTAGTTTCCAACCAGCTCTTCTGGTAGCCATGTCTTGCCTTGCCAATTAGCGTTTGTCATCTATTGATTGCAACAAATTCAACTCAATATCTCCTTATCTGCATTACCTTCTGCTTGGTAGTACAGAAGATTCATAATGGAAACATGGGGAGTGCTAAATTGCCTCCTATGAGTCATATACTAAGCATGTGTATTGTTTGATTTTGTCAATGCTACCAGCATCATAGTTTCATAGAAATATATGTGGGAATCATCTGTTGTACACATTGTAAACATGTAAATATGGAGTGAAATGAAAGCATTGCTAATTCCAGAAAATCCACATATATGTCTTCTTAAGTCCAGTATATTTTTCTATACTGGAGAGCCTTTGGACTTCATATATGACTGTAATTCATTCTGTTGGTAGTATGAGGGGAATGCATCAGCTCAGGTGCGTACAGAGCTTCCCCTGCCAGAAGTAGTGCCTCGTGATGACCCCCTGGTGCTGGAAGGCCCTGTGCCACAACCACTTTTCCACCCTAGAGCCTTAAAGCTCAAGGGAGAGCTCCTACACCCCATCAACACCCCAGGTAGAGAATAGGCCTCAGCCTTCTTTCTCACCTTTCACTCTGTACCTTTACAATTTACTCATTGTGCTCCTTTTCATATAGGTTTACTGTCATTTGATTTCTAAGTCATTTCCAATTATTTAGCATATTGATTTTCCACTTAAGGCATCATTGAGTAAAAGTTCTTCATAATTTGTTAACTTCCATCATAATACTACTGTTATCAGTGAAGTTGAGATTTTACTCATAATTGCCACTCAATGCTGTAGTTTAATAATTTCTTGGAACTTTCTTCTTTGAGGATGTGGTTTGCCACCCAAGAGTGGAAGGCTTCTATGTAATTCTAGTTAGTAGATTATTTGCTAAGGCTATTTCATAATGTGAAGAACTTGCATGTGTATGTTTGTGAATTGTTGCTAGGGATTTGGCCATCAGACCCTTGCCCATTTGGATTGGTAGCATTCCTCCCCCAAGACTTCCTAGTGAGGGAACACATTTGTAGTTTTGGAGATCATTATGACGACCAAGAAGCCCTACATCAACGAGGAATCATAGCCGGTTTTGCTTGGACCTTCTCTCAAGCCATCTTCCAAGGTTGGTTTGCTCATCACAAGCAATATCATCCAGTCCAGTGGTATGAGTTGAAAAGTAAAGAAAAATAAAATTGGGAAGTTTAAGGGAAGCTGAGAGAAAACTTTCTACCAGTTTTGGAAATGTTTGAAAGTTTAATAAAGCTGCCTAGTTCATCTGCAAAAATGTTGGAATCACATGTGTCAAAAGTCTGATTTTCAATTACCAATGATGTTGAATTCCTGAATTTACAATGAACGAAATGGTGAAAATCAGAATTTTGAATGAGAGAAACATATTAGAGAACTCTTATCTCCTCTGTTAGTGAAGTTACAAAAACAATGTGACTCTGTCAATGAAGTCTTGAAAATATGTAATGCAGAATGTGGAAAAAGTTCAACTAGGGTAAAAGACCCAGTGATGGGCCTGTTAATGGCGGGTACTCAGTGATGGGCCACATAGCAGGAAAATTCCAAAACCTAGGCATTTGTTCCATGAACACCTCTAACGTGTCTATGTGCTTGAATGCTGCTAGCATATGTCACAAAATGGGTAGGCTTGCAATGGAAACTTAGGTATTGGAATTTTTATGTGCTGTGGCCCATCACTGGGGACCGGTCCATCACTGGGTCTTTTACCCTACATGGTTTAGAAAGGAAGGGAGAAATAGCTGGAGTTTTAAATGTGATAACTGTGAACCTGTAGGTACTTCATTCAAAACTGAACATTATGTGCCATTGCACCCAAGTAATCACACATTACATGATGTGAGTTCAAAGAGGCAATTTTATTAATGTGTTTTTCCCTCGATTCTTCATTTTTCATCAGCTTGCATGCAGGATGCCCTAACATGATTCTATTAGTATGGGCATTGCCTACTATGCAATTAAATTGGTGGTACCATTCCTCTAGCGCAGTGGTTCTCAACCTTCCTTTTACTCCCATTGAACATTCATGCATTCGGGGGGGTGACACCTCCCAGATTGAGAACCACTGCTCTAGAGCATTTGTCATGAGTGGTTCTTCTCAGAGAATGCATTCCCTCACATTCCACATTCCAGGGTGGAAAACAGTACCACATCAAGGTCGATCTCTGCTTGTACAGCCATGTACATTGATATATTATTTATAAAATATGCTATAATTGTTGCTTGCCATGACCTCCATGCCAACAATATATAGGGTGAGTCAAAAGTCCAGTCGCATGGGTGCTGATGACATTCTGTTCAATATGTATTGTTTACACAATGTGCATAATGAACATGCAGCAGTCGCACCCAATACCCTCCAGCATGTGAGGGAAAGCTTCCTCCATCATGTGGACATCTGTTCCTGTCTCCAGGGCATGAAATTTGAACACCTCTTGTAAATGCACTTGTGTTCCCTATGAGACTGGACTTTTGACTCACCTTGTATAATTTTTTGGCATGTATGTCAAAAAGATCTTTGAATGCAGCTTGCACATTACTTTCTGGCATGAATTCCACAGCCATCAATGTGCTCATAGCTAAAGCAAACTCTACATTAGCTGCACATTCAGCCACTAATCCTGATTATATCAAGACCCAAGAATAGAATAGACTGGACTGGATTCCATATCCTGATGATTTGTTGTTTTCCAACATTTTGATGTCTTCAGTATTGTATCAATTGACATTATGCCCATTTGACCATTGTCCATTCAATGTCATGGCATTAGACTTTTTTGCTGTGTGATGAACTCTGACAACATTCTGATTTTATGTTATAGAACTGCTTTATCATTCATGATAAGAAAGTACATGCATGTAAAATTCAGAGCCACTTGCAGGATTATGTCCAGTCTTTTGACTGTGATGTTTCCTTGGGAATAATGTTCACTATTGAAGAGTGCATTCCAGTGATTCCCAAATTTTCAACCTATGCATACCACTTGCCTCTAGGGGGCATAGGTAGTGTACCTCCAGTGGTACATATACCACAGTTTGGGCACTGCTGGTGTATTCCCTATCAAAGAATCTAAACCTTGTAAGCTTGTGTAAACCTTTCCCATTCTAGCTTAAATGGGTGAGGGTGACATTATGAAATCAATTTTGATTTTTTTCTGAAATCTCTCTCCATCTCTGAATAGCTGTTTATCCCACTTCTCAAGTTCTCATATTGTTTGACTTGTGTCTGTGTGTTTGTACCATCACTCCTTAACCTTGATGCTGAGTGAAAATGTTTAAAAAATCATTCACACTTACTCTACTGCTTTGTTCAACTTTCCTTGCAGTTGGAGGCTGTGCCATATCAATGGCTCAGTCTCCATCTCATCAATTCCCAGAGGTATCCTTGTTGATTAGAAAAATCTGTATACAATGGTTTATTGACAGGATAGGCCTATACTTCATTTGAATCCATGTCTCTTTCTTCTGTTGCAGGCTTTGATCCATACAATGATATCACATACCCCCTGGTGTCTCATGTTGTGTTGAGTGATGGCCGCAATTTCTCCTTTTATGTCTACCAGCTGAACACAATCAAATTTCATGATGAATATGCAATGAAGAATCCACAACGCAACTTGTGTTGGGCAACAACACAGCAACCATTGTTTGATGCTGTTGAGGGTGGTCAATTGCATGGATTCAACAAAACTGTGCTTTTCAATCTCCTCAAACTTTTGATTCGATCGCCTAAGGAACGTGTTGGAGTCAATCTGCAACCTTACCTTGGTGCAGAGAAAGTGGCTGCAAACCTGAGTGATGACCGTTATCGAAACTGCATTGAGGAACAGTACAAGCATCTCTCATCAAATCGACCACGACACTTTGACCGACCGGAGATCTATCCATGGGAGAAGATCTACAAGGTGGATCACAACACACGACCTGTGGAGCCCAAGATCCGCTGGTTTGAGCAGGGGAAGTGGTGGAATGTACCATATGAGGAAAGGATGAGAGATTATTTTCACCGCATTACTACCACTCCTCGCAGCCACAAGAACAGGAAATGATTAGGGGCTGTGAGTGAACTGTGGAATTTTGTATGATGGATGAGAAAAAAAGTTATTCAGTAAAGAGTATGCAAAAAGTGAATTAGGGTAATTGATTTTCAGCTGGGTTTGGGAACAGAATGCATAAGAACAGAAATATGAAATGGAGCACCAGAAATCAGGTGAAGGGAATGATTTAACAGGACAACATATAATGTTTCCATGACATGACAAATTACATCTCTATACTCTCTTGAATGTGTTTATCTGCCATTTTGAAACATGGTTGGCATGGTGGATAACCAAAGAAAGGGTTTCCTTTCACTAGTTCGCCCATCCGAAAGTGGTATTAGTGTATCTGCATTAAATGCCTGTCGTTGTTTTGTTTAGTGGTTCCTTGAGAAGTGCGATTTGTTTCGCAAATCAAGGGGCCGAGTGCTGTGCTTATTCCAGGCTCCTGCCTAAAGGGATTTGCAAAAGAATTCGTGTTCCTTTGAACTTCGTGCATGTCAATCAGAGGTGGCTCATGATCTGTAACAACAGTAGCTGTTTTTGTGTATGAATCACTACAGCTGAAGGTCACAAGCCACATTGATATCATTTATACTGTGCATGCAACGAAGTGAGGTGATATAATTTATAAAAGGAAGTTGTTAGACCTATGGAACCCATGTTGAAGGCAATATCTTTTTTCTGCCCAAGAAGGCATCTAATCTATGCACAGAAGTGTAGCTACTGCGTCATTAATTCAAATTTTAATTATGCGTGCTCTCTCTCAGTGGCGACATTGGCCACATATTGAAACACACACAGAGACTGAGCATAGCATGGCCAATCATCTGAGGCAAGCTACCAAAATCATTCTAGCTTGAATCATGAGAGTCTCACAATCTCTGCTTCAGAATATTTTTTGCTTTCAGAGGCTCTTTAATGAACCCCTAATTACCGGTCATGATAGAGCAAGGGAACTTAATAGTTAATAACTGATGCCAAATTTCCATGATTTGTTGCATGAAATTGTGCAATTTATCTTGTGTAAATGGAGGATTCTTCAAGAATTGTTGCATATAACTGATTTATTTGCACAATATGAGACCAAAACGAATTATGTTGGAATGAGACCTGATTCCATTAAGTTGGGAAATTAGTTCTTCAGAGAGCACCTCAGAAGTAACCACCTGATCCTGGAACGATTATGAGGTAAGGCAATAATGAAATATAAAACAAGGTCCCATAAACTCATTCATAGAAAGAAATTAAATAATGTTGCCTGAGGCCTAATGACAAAATCAGGGTATTGGTGCTGAAACTGCAGGCCAAAGAGCCATGTCTTCAACTTAATGGAAAAAAGGTTTCACTGAAGCACTGTTCATTGTAATCCTATCATAGGTTTTTACTTCTGAAGCCTCTTTTCACAACTGGAGCATTCCTGGTCATCTGGAATGAATAATGCATCCATCATGTTGAGTAGTTGCAAGCAAATTGCCATTGATCCAAAATAATTCCACTGCTGTTCGACAGGCGCATTCATGCACAACAGACATTTTTATTCCCTTTGAGATCACACATATTCTTCTTGATTCATCTCCAAGGGAATGAGATCTCTGGAGGCACCCTCTATCGGTGATACTTGGAGTATCTCTGCAATGAAATATAAAAATTCCTTCAATTGCACTGGTCTTGGCTAGACAGTCACATGCTCGAAGTTCTTCTCTAAAACAACTTTATCGAGTTTTACTGAACTTTGCATGGCATAATTTTATTCTTTACAACGTTACAGAAGTAATTCTCTCACAAAACTTATTGGGTACTCTGCAGGACATCCCTTACATTTGGTATGATTCTGTCCCACGTAGGCATATTCGAACTTTACTATAGTCATTGAATGGACTAGAAAAAAAACGATGTTATGGCCAAGATTCGTTAAAAAAGAGGTTTCCTTTATTATTTAAATGATCGTATTTACAAGAATATGTCTTATACAACCTCGCTGTATATTGACCATGCTATACTACTTACATGCCCCATCTGGTTTCCTTTGCCCAATTTCTATAAAACTAATGATGTTCACTTTATGATCAATCGTGAAGGCTTGCCTCTTTTTATATTTTATACATGCTATTTACAAGAAAAATGAGTAGCAAATGAAGATTAAACGACTGAAGATTAGGTGATATTTGAGTGTGTGGGGATTTTCCATCCCTCCACACTTCTCCCCACTCAAGCTCACTGCACAAACGCGAGACTTACAGGATTGCAGATTCAAGAAAAGGGAAAGTTGGAGTTGCCAATGGTTAATGTTCGAACCCGACTTAGGGTGAGCTCAGTATGGGGCAATAACGCCTTCAGAATCAATTTGTCAGTCTTCTCTTCCAAGGTACAAGTATTAAGAGTTCCAATTATTAGTGCATTGGTTCCAGAGAGAACTGGTCGTATCACAATGGTGTAACCATAGCCACAATAACTCAAAGAGTAACTTTCTTGTAGTTTCCTCAGAAAGAAGAAACTATCAATAGTACTGCTATCAGAATGACGATATAGTGAGATTCAGATTGAGGAGAGCTATGCCACAGAGGGCCGTTATCAATGTTTTCAGTTGTTCCCAAATGCATTACAAGGAAACTTATATGACATAATCGCCATTGGCCAGTAAATCCTTCAATATCTCTTTTCTTTTTCATTACTAAAGGCAAGTTAGAAATAGGATTTAAAATAGTTCGATCAGTTTAAGCTGAAAAGTCCTCAAAACTGCAAGTTAACCGGTTTATGACAATAGTTGTTGCAACTGGGAGTTAAGTAGGAGTGAACCTGCTTATTTACAAGTTTTGAAAGGAACTACTCGAAGTTACAAGTTAGATTTGCTCCAAAGAGTTGGTTACGGATTGTGGTAATTTTTTTTTCGCAAAGAGCAATTGACTGCCTGAAAACGAGCGTCCCTTAAAAAAAAAGGAACTTATTTCTCTGGAAAGGCACTTCAAAAGAATCATTAAATTTTCAAGGAATATGAGCGCAGAATAACATTTACTCTTGAAAATTTCGGATTTAGCTGAGTTCGTATCTGACTTTCTTCGAAGACGTTGATGTCTAATTGAAATTATAAGGACGTAATCGCTAATGCTGCAAATGAATGAAAGCTCTGGCAGAAACATCTTAGTAAATGTAGAAAAGGGAATAAGAAATGGGAATAGTATAGACCATAAGAAAAGTCTTGTTCTTCGAACGAACTCATTAGACATCATCTTAGCCTCCAAGACTAGCCTTTTTTTTCTTAACCACGAGTGCTTGAATGGAAGAGAAAAGGGCGTGACCTCTGTATCTTTGAGGGTCTGATGGGGACATATTTCGGCTGAAGTGGATTGTGGCGAGGGCCGAGAGGGCAAGGAGCAAGGCGGACCCTGCTCCCAACGCCAGGCTTTTCCTGTAGTAATTCTCCACACTCTCACATGACGCCATCCTGTTCCCCCCAATCAGAGGAAGAGGTACATAATCCCCTCTAATAAAAATTTCGTCAGTTAAACATTCAGGCCCGAATGCACACACCGCATTGAGGGGAAATAAAGGGACCTTTAAGCTAAAGAGCTCTTTCTCCCATAGGAGTTCATGTATTCTTGAAGGAACGTTAACTAAAGGAGGTTTCAGCATTCGGGCCTCAGCCTTTAAGCATGACACATTCTTTTCTTGGTAAGATTCCATGTAACATACCTTGAAGAATATAAATTGCGACTACTGAACCAAAAAAGATTTTTGTTCTTTTTTTTTAGAAAGGCATTATTATCTTGATCGTTCACTTTTAATAATGAAAGAAAAGGGTAGAAACCGAATGGGATGCTCCATTGAGCCTTTTAGGAAGAGCATGAGAGTTATTAAGAGAAGACGCCATTAGGAGTATGTGAGCATTGGCTGCACCAAAAGGCATACTGTTAAAATCGTAGGGTTGTACGCCAACTCGTTGCGGGATGGGGGTCTCTGGGCGCCTCATTCCTTTCTCATCTTTTACAGGCTGCGGAAGCTTCCGAGTCAGCACTTCGTGTGCTACGTCACGTACGATGTCATGTGATGCATTACGACGTCTATTAGCTAACTTTTTATGGGAAGATGGTGCTGATTTTTGGGTAGACAACAGTTTATGCATTTAGCTTAACCTTTTCGGTGCGGAGTTTCTATCCGCGCGCTGCCCTCCCTGTACTGAGTTTTTTTTTTTCTCGCGCGCGCTAGGCTTTTACTTTTTTTCTCCAATATATTCAATTTGCTGCTAGAATTTATTGGAATTTAATGTTCCACCTAACGTGAAAAACTTGCACTACTAGGAAGGAAAAGCTCTCAGCATTAGATCACAGCGGTCAGAGCGCAGCTGTCGAGTTTAGTCGACAGCTGAATTTATCATTTTGGCTCAACCTTGGCCAGCCATACGTATACAACATAGCATACCTCCTACCTACCAACGCTTTACCAGCATTGACAGATCACATGCACTCTACTTCGCAGACTCTCTCTTCGTCGACACTCTAAAACAACATTGGCCCTATCTTAGCAGCAAACATACGCCCTGCACCGCATGCCCACTTTCCACCAACGTTGGACTTACGTTACCAGTCCTCTTCATACTATCTGGGTAAGACATTCTCTAGATATCTGAATTCATATTTGAGCTATCTCCTTCAGAAGATTCTATTTCCTCCCCTTTCTCATTCTCCTCTATAATTCCGGATAGGAGGCATTTCAGACTTCAGGAACGTAAAAACGTACGAGTTGCTGCAGTAGGGAACACAGTACTCTATGATCCAAATGGCGATTCCGCTGGCCAGCTTATCGGTGAAGCTCATGAAGCCGTAGACAAAGCCACCGGTATGCTCTTGTTTCCCGATGAGATCGGCTGTTAGGTTCAAGGCCGTGACGACAACAGCAGTCGTCGAGTACCCGTACAGCACTGCGATCGTATACACCTGATACTGGAAGTTCTCCGAGGCTACTCCGAGGGACACCCAGACGCTAGCTGTCATCCCTAGGACTCCTCCGATCGTGAACGTCACCTGGGATCCCAATGAACTTCAAACGCCTTCAGAGCAACGTAGGGCATATCTACATTTTCCTAAACATATCCTAAACATTTTCTACGGCTTATGGTAGAGTTGAAGTATTAGGCCGGAGGTGTCGTCGCTGGACAAAAAGGCTCTGAATGTTTTTCTGAAAATCATCCCAATAAATTCGATTTGATCACCATCACATGTAAATTGTGATGAAGACTCATTCTCAAATCAATGGTTTTCGAACAATTCTGATAATTTTTATCTCGCCCTAACTCACTCAATTGGAGTTCAATGCTCTCATTGCTGGTCAGATCTCCGATATTGCCCAGAGAGAAGGAAACAATATGAATATAACTTATGTAGAAAAACAGTAACAAGACGAAGCGTTGTACATTCAACGTTTGAGACTAAGCTTAGCTTAGATTCATGAAATCGCATCTCGAGTTACCTTCACGGTAGAAGCAACAAACTGGTTTACCTAGAGCCTATACTGAAGTTTGACTTCTGAACGCTTCCACGCAGAAATGTCTGTCAATTTAGATGCATTCTCGCATGCATGCGAGTTCGGAACTCTTTATGTAAAAGGGCTTCTTTTTTCATTTGGGGTCTGTCTGGCTTGTCATTGTGGAAGTTTCATTTTTCAACTGAGTACCTCTAATGAGAGGGTTAATATTACAATTTTTTTTAAGAGGGAAGACAGGCTTGGACGCCCTTACGGTGAGCGAAAGACATTCCCCGAGCTAAAATTGTCTAGTGACAATATCTCCCTTAGTCTTTGGCTTGTCAGCTTTCTTCCCCTTGCCCCTCGCAGCCACCCTCCATGCACATTAGGTCAAGATAGATGAAGCATTTGGAATTAAGTCTTCCCTTTCTTTCTGATTAGACTCATCTGCCATTGTTTGAGCACGAGCCTTTCCAGGTTCCCGCTTTGGTAACTGTAATTGAAGGTTATGAACGGAGGTCATATGACATACGACTCGGCCCAGTGCTTCATTGGAGCGTTCGATGAGGAAAGTGGAGAAGAAGCCGGAGAGAAAGATGACCAAAGGAATGATGGCTACGCTCTCTGCCGGCATGTGCAAAGTTATTTGCAGATACAGGTTGATGAAGCTCTGCACCAGATTGCAGAAGAGCCTCGATGCCATATACAACACCGCCGTCTGGTAGAACTGCAACATAACTATGACTTATGTGCTGCCACTAGGTGAATGAGAAATTAACTTCGAAAGCCAGAAGAAATGGAGGAAAACGACCAACTTGGAGTTTGGTGAACCAATCTTGAATCCTGAAGTTTTTCCTTCCATCCGCACTGATACTGAATGGATTATTGGCTGAATGGACCCTCTCGGGCGTGAGCATGTGAAATACGATCGTGAAGACAGTTCCTATCCCGACCCCAATCAACACCACCGTCTGCCCGGAGATCAAGATTTGCAATTCATCTCTTCCAACGGCATCTCTAGCTTTTGCTCACGCATCAACCACGAGCATTCATTCCTCTCAAAGTAGGTTTGGCTGAAATGGTTCGAGGCACTTTTTCCCACCAAGTTCGATTCTACCACGGAAGTTAATCAAGGAGAGAAAAAAAGGAAGAACTCAACCATGAAACTGCCTTGATTTTCGGGACCGACTTGATTCCCACTTCCACCAGCGATTCCCAACACCAGCCATACGAGGATATAGGGCAGGATATTCGACAGCACCAGCATTCCATACCTAGGCAGGAAGAGTTCCTATCATCTCCAATCGTTGGACAATCCACCCCTTTTGAACTGCGCGAGAAAAGTCCCTTCTGCTAATAAAAGCGTCAAGTTAACACATCATAACATCATTGAAGACCTTGTGCTGAACAATCCTTTTTTTTTTCTTTGTTTTTAAGTGGACACGTTTTTGTTGCTCAGGAGGTCATTAATCTCGATAAATGATGAATAACATGAATGATGAATCTTACTTAGTGGGAAAATGGTGACAAGTGGACCTAAACATAAGTGCTTAAGAATAATGACATTTTAAAGTCTTGAATTAATTGGCGTGTTTGGGCTTATTCCCTTTCTCCAACCCCTTCCTAGCTTTAAATCCCGATTGAAAACAGGTATAATATCAAGCTGAACCCCGAATGAAAATTCAGACCCATTCCAACTGGATAACAGCTGGAAAGTAAACTCCAGATTGGTTTCTAGTAGCAATACCACTAATGGAACGGGAATGTATTTGCTGGCTATTCTTGCCGGAGGTCCATCTACAGATGTAGCTGAATTTCAACTGCATATTCAGTTGTATTCCAACCGGAGGGTTGTTCTCCGTATAATATTCTGACAGGAAATTTCCAGCTGGAAAAAGCTATTAAAACCAGCTGCTTTCCAGTAGGAAAATTCAAGCTGTAAAACAACCTTAATCTACCATTTTCTAGCTTTTTGCCAGCTGGAAATGATCCTAATTTACATCTTTAGTCCAAATGGAAAATTCCAGTTTGGATTTCGAATTGGGTTCCCCTGACAAATTTCCGGCTCCTTGTATTCCTCTCTGAGGGCATCTGAAGGAACAAAATTGAGCTCGTTTCTTACCACAGAGTCACTCCAACAAAGAAGCGTTATCTCCCCCGGCTTACAAGGAAACAAGAGTTTGCTTTTTAGCAAGGGGAAATTTCCTTTTTTTTCTTTTTTTTCCTTTCTTTTTTTTCTTTTTCTTTTTTTTTTCTCCCACTCTCCTGGTAGCTGCATCTGGGAGTTTTCGGAGGAGATAGCCCAAACAAAATAAAGATATGGACTTACATAGCGAGATATGTGCCCTTCCCGTTGCTGGCAATGCACTTTCCTTAACCGAAAATGAAATTAGCTGCCGTTTCTTTGGGCTTATCATGTGAGCTCCAGTCCCGTTCACCACGGTTGCCCAAAATCGTGCAAGAATTATGTTGGATTCATGACTGTTTCTGATTTTGTATCGGTGCCGGGGTCCTGTTCTTTTGTGTGATACGTTTTTGCTCTTGGTTTATGGGATGACGTGAAATCGAAACAGTGATTACTGGTGGCCGACCAATATGGACATACTGCACATGGACATCCCTGCTGATGATGGCGTCTAACATTCAATGAATTTCGGAGGCAGCCCGTCCACAGACTTCATCAAGATGGTTCGTGAAACTTGAAATGGGCCCATAATCGACCAGATGGAGATGGTGTTAAACATTCAAGACAGGCCCATAGTAGGCCTAACGTTACCCTCATCGCCAAAATGCCTCGAAAACTTCAAGATAGGCCTACCATAGACCAAATTGGCCTCATAAATTGCGAGTCGGGATTCTTTTAAGCGGAAAGAAACCGGACCTGAAGGCAGTCCTAGGCCTTGTAAGTCCCGATGTCTCCTCTGATAATTAGTAATTAACATTGCTGCAGTGATTTTGGGTGATTCATTATGGATATGGAAACTGCCACAACGCCCGTAGAGAGGAATGGGTTGAAGAAAGGGAAAACACATTAGAAAAGTGGCATTCACATCACTACATTTTATCATTGACTCACCCAATTCACTGTACCTGTATGTATTGAGTTTTGCCCTCTCTTCGGAGTTCTGAGTAAGGTTGGGCATGAGTGCCAGGTGAGAAATTTGGACTGCTGCCCATCCAAATTGGAAGAGGATGATGAAGATGATATACCAGGCATATCTGACTTGGAAACTCCAGGATGTCAACCCGAGGAAGATCATGGGGAAACTCCCAATCACTATCACAGAACCTGTGATAAAGTTTCCATTCTCATATCCGGCAAAAAGTAAATAAAAAATATTTCAGCAGTTCAAGATATTCCATGGAGATAGACGTTGATTGCATATCTCTACTATGTAAATCCTAGCACCCTGCCATTCTCCGATTACAGTATATCCCCCTATACTCGTCTTGCGCAGTTATATTGTTACGGTGGCAAACATTCTGGGGAATCCCATAAGTCAGCATGAAACGCGTCTGCCCTGTCCCCACTGCAACTGACTTCAAAATCCTGGAAATACCGTAGCTTTTGTGCAAACTTGCCATGAATTGTCGAATATGTTGAAAGATGAGAGAAAAATGAGAAAGCTTTGGAAAATATGGTCAGCTGAGGTAAATGAGATGTCATTAGGTGGTCAACCGAGGAAACTGCTCTTTCCAAACAGAAATCACACTGATCTTATTTCGAATCACAGCATTAAGCCTATTAGCAGAGATAAATTTTCGTGATATTCCGGAGGTGCGACAAACCGAAGGCGTGCCAGGTCTTCTTCAGACCGTACCCTTGAAAGGGCAAGAAGGAATTGGTCTCCTTGTCGACGGAGATGCCGACCAACGGCGTGGAGAGGGCATCTGCCACCTGACCCACCAACAGCAGGGTGCCGGCATGCACGCTCTCGAACCCCAGGACCCGATGGAAATACAGGAGGAGGTAGGTGAACCACATGGAGGAGCAGATGTCGTTCAATACGTGTCCTATGGAATAGCCCCCGCGAATTCTCCATGGCAGTTCCTTCTGACTGCTACTCAAGGATATGCTGCAAGGGAAGAGGTCAAGGGGTTTCACGTATATGAGGTGAGCCTTTCTCAGGGCAAGGCCCAAGCGATCGGACAACACTCGTCGCACGCTCATCATCGTCAAACGAATCCACGTCTCGTTTTCGCGTACGCACATCAGATCAATCTCCCTTATCTCTGGCACATTATTGCTTGCCATAAAGCACGCTTATCGGCAGGATGATGACGTGACCCACAAAAAAGGGATTAGGGGAGTCGCGAGTTAACAATTGATGAAATTACCGCATGAGCCTCGTGATCCGAGGGCAACGAAACCGGATGCAAAGCCTTCCGCCGGCGAAATGACAGTGAGGATTCGACCCTTGTCGTTCTGGTGACGGGGTCTCAAAAGTCATCGTATGACTTAGCTGATTTTGGTCACTCCACTGTATTATTCACTTCTTTTATTGGCTTCGAGAATAAAAAAAAAAGTATTATAGTAGAGCTGGTAATCTATCGAGAAATTTCATAGATAAATTGTAGACTGTTAAAAATGATTGAATTTTACTTGGTTTGTAATTTTCTTCCTAATGGGAGGACAGTCACAACACCAGAGTCCGCCATGTCGATCTTGCGTTTCAATTGGTGACACTTCAAAGTCTTTGTCTATTTTTTTTTTAAATCGTGAATAAATTTTAATCAGTCCATCAGTCACTTGACGTTATGTACTCTAAATGTACTCTAAAATAGTAAGAGCTCGAGTTCCCTCTCTCAGGCACTCAGAGAGAACTAAAGTTTTCTTACTTATCCCAATGGTCTGAAAGCTTGCCACCGGAACGATGAAAGCCAGGGAAACAAATGTGCATAATTTTTTGGTTTTCATTTTATTACAAACGTCCGATCCACTTTCTTTTTCTATTCATTCGATTCATTCTTTGAAGGTTGGAAGCGAAGGAGCACCATCAACGGGGAAATATAAGTCATTCCATGGGATTTTCGCTGACGCGTCCCCGTTTCTTTACGATCACGCAAGAAATGCATCAGCAATCAAGGCTAAAATATCGTGAGTGCTGGCACCCCGAGAACCTTCGCCTGGACGGTGAGCTGGAGATCGAAGTGACCAATCAGCGCACGTGTTGGTCTCCCACTCTCCTTGTTCATTTGCCCACTTGGCAGTAAAATAAATGAGCGGTGAATCTGCATTGGCACTGCGGAAGTGGAGAGATCGCAGTCTCCATTATGGAAAATCTAAACACTGTGATGAGACCAGTATTTTCGAAGACTCGAGCAACAAGGAATAAACTGTGGAAGAAACGCGACCGGACTACATGCTGACCCTATCGATTGATTAGAGGTAAGGAGCAGGGCCTGGTTCCCTAGGAAGAGAGTAAACATTACGGGACACGCTTCCTGTGCCACTCCACACTTTTATCAGGTAGCAAACGAGAAAGTAGCCTTGCTTGAAAATCAGATACAAAGCGTTCTACAAGGGTGACTAGTGGGAATGGACACGATCGTTTAACTCCTGTTCAACATCCGATGAATGAAAAATAGAAGAAGCTGTGCCTCCTGAACTTGTTTCTTTCATTGGGATATTGACTCAGACCTTTCGGATTCACAGTGACCAAAATTAACTTTGAAGGTGCAGGCGAAGATTAACTCTTAATATTGATAAATCCAACCGTCTCTGGGCTGACTATAGTCAACAGTGGGTGTGAAAGGGTTAATCGACCGTTTCCATCGGTCAACATGGCTATGCATTTGATGAACACGCACGAATCGAGTCGGGGAACCTGGATTTCGTCAAAATTTCCGGTCTTCCTACAGGACGATGATGACTGTGACAGACCTGCTTCCTCTGGGGATTCGGAATCCGATCTGAAGGAGGCCGAATCCCGTCATCTGGGCTTGGTCTCTGTGCTTCCGATCCTCCAAACATTCAAATATGTGAGGAGACTTTCATCCACTTTCACAATCGTAACCAATCCGTCAAGCACCTGTTGCGTTGCCATGTTACATAAACAATCGGGGCAAGACAGGTGGCATCAACGTCTTTATATGGCGCCAGCTAGAAGTAGATTTGTCACGTTGTGATCAATGGAAGGAATTCGGGTAAATCTTTACTCAACCGAAGAGACTGACCTCACGAGCTGCTGAGATAAGAAGCACAAATGACAACGGCTTCACAGGCGTAATGATAAATAAGCGGTTAGCTATAAATCAATCGCGAAATTTCAAAAATACAACCTCAGTCTGTCCAAAATTTGACGAGATATATTGACCCAATTGCAATAAACGCACGGTGTCATCTGCTTGAGAACTTGTTACAGTCGAAATAGCTTAAATGACAAACTTTGAGAATTTGGCAAAAGAAAGTTTAATGATACATTTTAAGAAATCAATGGACAATAAAAGGAAATCATAAAGCGTTTACCGGGGTTACCACATGCGACTGAAGGACACGCTGTAGGTTGTTGGGGAAACCCTGTGTCATTCGTAACGAATTTGAAGATCATCCCATCTGCGTGCTTCCCAAAACTGAAAAACGCTTCATCAAAACATGTAATCACGATGGGATTGTGTTCTCAAAATTTTGCGAACTCTGCTTTTGATGTTAACGTGGCTGCACCCATGTTCCTTGGATATATCTAATGCTGTGGAATGCAATCGTGGAAATTTTCACAAACTGTAAGTAGGCCATTCACAGACAGAATCGATTAATTTAGGTGATCCAGAGCTGCAAGTCAACTTGAGTGAAAGTGGGCCAAGACAGGGTCATCTTGACAATCGTGAAACAGCTGCAGTACTCTCGAATATGTCACATGGAGAATACAAGTGATGGAGCATCCAGGAACTTGGGAGATAGAAAACTGAAGAGCATTGGGGGTTAACCCCTCCCCCCCTCCCCGGTTCGTAAGGGGAGTAAACTAATATCACATTTAGGGCTCCGGGTCCAGTAATATTCCTAACAGAATGAAGCAAGCATGGACGAGGGAGGGATTTCGCGTAGTTAATCGATCTCGCTCGCCGGCCTCAAACGGATGGCGGTGCACGTAGGATCCGAGCCCTGACGAATTCCGCTTCCACCTCTCACCTTCTCTTGCTTTTTACGTCTCATTGGATTATTTTATTGCAATTCTTCCAATGCCTCAACGGTTCATGTTCTCGACTTGGATTTTTCCAATCCGTGCAGTAAAAAGAAAACGACTAGAAAATGCTCATTCCAATGCAAGAGGGCTCTTGCATTGGAAGTTTGTACCGTTTGAAGCGTATGCGCTGAGGTCGTGGAATGTGGGGCGTTAAACAGAAAAATAGCCAAATGTCAAAACTGAAATGTGATTTTTTTTCGAGACCAGCAATCTCAGCCTATATCTTCCTAGTGTTCCCGAGCCGAATGCAACCGCAATCGATACAAAACTTTTCTGTTAACGCACTTTTTTATTTTATATTTATGTTGCCTTGTATCACATCCAAGGACGCGAGCCTTTGGATAGGATGTGTTCTTGCGTCGTGGCCAGTATGAAAGTCTATCGACCGATTGGGAGGCCTCGGTATCCTGGTCACGGCGATTGTTTCGAGGCACGGCATGTTACCGAGGAAACTCGGAGGGGTCCCAATCACTAGTTACCATAGCGTTATGTATGTTGTGTGGGGACCTCGTTCCCTCAGTGGGGCTCGGGCAAGAGAGGTCAGAGGTCATCTTGGGTGATATGTAGCATGCAAGCCTCAAACCCCCCTCCTTCCTTCAAGCCATGGTGAAAAAGAAGAAACGCTGGAAATATTCACATCAACCGTAGTGAGTCTTCCATCTATCAATTCACTTTTTGCTTTTTCTGCCTCCAAATACTCATACAGAGTTTACCAAAACTCATTGGTAGATTGGTGGATAGATTGAATTATCGAATTTTCCCTCCTAGTTTATGGCACTCTCAATTTAGTGTGCACTTGAAGTGGGTAAGTTTTTACTCAGAAATAGCTGGCTGCTAGAATCGACAATAATGGAGTTAATGAATTGGCTGCCTGACACGATGTGTTTGAAATCCAAACTGCTGTGCAGAGCTAATTTTGCGTTTTTTCCGAAAAGCACTAGCTGTCGAGAAAATCGTGAGCATTCATCAAAAACTTGGGATTCAGTCCATGATCACGCAAAAATGTGGGAGCCCTTCGAATGTTCGATCCAATCAGTAAGCGGATCGGTTCAGGGAAGCTTTCCACAGGGGCCTAAAGAGGTCGAAATGAAAAGACCCATGAGACTTCAATGACGCAGCAGAGAGCTTCCGTTTTTAGGCTTCCGTCTTTTTTTCCGAACTGGAAGATTCCTGTGGAAAAGCTTCTCCCTTCTACTCAGTGGAGAGTCATGAGGCAGTTGGAATTCTCGGCGCAACTGAGCGCACAAATGCAATGCGCATGCGTATTCAAAAGCTGCATTTCGCAAAACCAAATGTCTTGCGCAGGATTACCCATTTACTTCTGAATTCTTGCCACAGTAGGTAATCCTCAGGTTCTATGCAGCACTCAGCACAACATCGGTTCCTTTCGAATAAACGAATGCACTCTGACTCTAAATTTTCAACTTATCTGCATCTAAAGACAATCATTTAAAAATAAGGCGTCAAAGTTTGGATTCCCAAAAATACTGAGAACTTTTTTTTTTTCCTCAGTCAACCCATATGTTTTTTCTCTGCAGAGAAGTTTGGAAGTGGGAGATTGAACAATGTTGTACGACGACCGAAGAACCTACGATTATTATGCAAAGCAACGCCCTCTTTGGAAGATCATTCTCGGCATTCTCTTCTCTCATGTCGGCCTCTTTTTTCTCGTCGCCGGATATGCCGTTGCAGGTAAATAATATTTTTTTAAATGAAATTACTCGTTGACTGCCATGAAACCATAATTTAACTGGGGAGAGCGGATATATCCACTCTCTGAAAACTTTCTTGAACAACAGAATGCACCTCAATATACCGACATAGTACAATAGTTGGCACAAAAAGTATTTATCAAAACTGCACTCACAGTCGGAAGCGTGAAAAATTCTCCCCGTGAAAGTTTTCCTTTAAAATCGCTCCCCAGTTAACAGGTTAATACCTGCTCGCTTCATGCAAGAAGTCGTATTGTAAATTCAGCATGTGACGACGAATTCATCATTCTCTTCTCGGATACCGGCCATACCGCGCAACGGCATCAGGTTATTCGCACCTCACACAACAACTTCGTACCTACAGACAAGGTCCATAGAATGGACATTATATGTTCAAAGTTGTTGCAACTCCGCTGCGGTCCTAGGAGGCTAGCAGTAGGTTAGGCTGCCCTCCTCCCTGCTTTCATTCCGCATTCGGCCTTTTTGCTTCCTGACTTGTTTTCATTATTGTCGGCTATTTCTTGTTATACTTCCCGTTGGAAAGAAATTTCATATCTCTGTTCTTGTGGATTATTGTGATTTTGTAGCCGTTTTGCTTGAAAATCACCTGAAATCTTTTCGGACCAGCTGACCGGGCTCGTGCCGTATCCTTGCAACACGTGTCACCAATCTCTTTAATGTGAGCATTTGTATAAACCTAGACAGCGAATGCATGCGCTGAAAGGGATGAGAGTCCACTGGTAGCAGACGATGCCTCCCAGCGTCATTAAGACCTGGAATTGGTAAATCGCCTGTTCGAGTTAGAAAGAGACTCCGAGAAAGACTAGTATTGCAGTTGATTTCCGTCCGTACTTTCATTTTCCCGACGCCTCTCATCACCAAGAACCTTGCACATTCTTAATTTCGAAGTGACTTGAAAGACAAGAGGCTAATGATTCCTGCTGCTTTGGGATCATTGTCATCTTCAACGCCATAGTAACAAGAGTTATATTCGTCGCGGTCAAAAATGAATGAATACGGGCTAATAAGAGCATCAACCGACACCAGGAGCGTACCTGTTCATCTACTTGGAGATGCCGGCAGAGGAAAGAAGAAAGCAGCAGATGGTGATCCAAGCGGAACAGGTGGATGATTCCATCACTTACCTTGCTGATTTGTTCTGGTACTATCAAGACAACTACAAGAACGTGACGATCTGGAGGAAAAAGGTATGCAGCATGCGACGTCGTGAACCGATACGAAAGGTAGCTTACATTCGCCTTGGCCCTGAAATGCTACTGATCTCTATCAGGTCTCGACGGATTTGGACCGATTCAAGGACTTTCTGATTGGCGTAGTGCAAGACACAGGGTACACCGGAACTAAGGACGTGTGGGATTACTCTTGGACTTTCCCCAAAACCCTTCTCTTCACCATCACCATCCTCACCACCATCGGTTTGCATTTTCTTCCCTCTTTCGATGCACGAGGGATACACGGCCTTTCACGGACTGTCGTTCTTTAGGTTACGGTAACATAACACCCAAGACGTTCTACGGCAAGATATTCACCATCATATATGCCCTCTTCGGGATTCCCTTGTTGCTCGTGTTTCTTGCCAACATCGGTGACAGCATGGCCTCTACTGTAACACTCGTCTACAGGTATCAATCTCACCTTGTCGACCGCTTGGAGGCTTTTGGGTACGATTGGATAAACTGTCAGTAGATCGATTACGTGTTTATTAATGAAACTGAAGCACTAAATTGCATTGCGTTTCCTATATTCTTGTCGCCTCCACGAGTTATGAAATTATCTCTCGTTCTCAAAAGATGAGTGAAATTCGAATGTTATATGTAGGCAAAAGATAGCGGGGGAAGAGATATCCTAGAGGATTTCCTTATTCCGACGTGAAGAATTTTATGGAGAAAATTTTTGGAATCTCTCCGTACAAACGTATCTTTGTTACATGGTTTGTCATTCAACCATTGTCATTCGTCACGAGGGTGAGGCTGTTTTGCCCTAGCCGACTATGTTGCCGCTGGTGTCGAGCGAGACGGAAGAAGAGCGAACTGCCACCTGGGGTAACGGAACCGCCCAAAGGAGAAAGACTCATCGACGACGACATCGGCAAGGAAGAATACATGCCTACCAACGACGTACGTTACGAACTTCCGCGTCCCGACAAAAACTTCGTAGATTCAGAACCCGAAAACGATGCAGCGGATATCAATTGGTACCTAGGTAGTGGTGCCGATCATGCTGAATTTGTTGATCATTGCGTTGTACATCATGCTCGGGGCAATTTTGTTCAACCAATGGGAAGGCTGGGATTTTACCACTTCGTCCTATTTCACCTTCGTTACCGTCGCTACCATCGGCTTCGGGGATTACGTACCCGGAAACAGGTAAGTCGCAAGCGTGATGGAAAATCCATCAGTTTTATCGATTTTGCACGCATTCCGCTCAAATTCCTGAAGTGGTTATCGTAATCCTCTCCTTTGCATCGTTCACGATTCTTTCCCCGCAGTTTCTTGGAGTACAAAGACGGTGTCTCTGCCATGCTCAAGATGATCACCACCGTCCTCTACTGCTTATTCGGTTAGCCGAAGGCAATGGGTACTTGTGGGGTCGATCGTTCAAACGGCGAAGACTGTTTTTTTTTTGGATTTTGACTGTTGCAGGGATGGCATTGGTGTCCATGGCGATCAACCTCATGCAGGCGCAATTGCTCGCGAAAGCGAAGTGGTTTGCCAAGGAAGTGGGCCTCTCGGACGACTCGGAAGAATTCCAGCTGCCGCCCATCGAGGTCTCTCGTTAACCATTTCAGACTTTCTGTCTGCATTATGTGTGGATTTGGAGATCACAAACTATTAAATATTTTAATTTCAAAGGAAAATGGAAAGATCTGCTCTCTAGCTGGATGCAGCCTCTGCTCTCTCTTTTATGGCTCGGAATTCCGTGCTGCGATTGCGAGAAATTACGCATAATTATAAAGCTTTTTTATCTTCTTCAATTAACCTTCCTATTCTGTTCCCATTTTAGGAACACCATTTACGTTCGGGTCACCCTGACCCGATATACATTTCCTATGATTTGAATAGGCATTCACTTGAGTTTTTTGCTGCTTCATTATTTCTTATAGCAAAAGGATAGATCACACATGTGTTCATTATTTCATTAGTTATGTTTGCATACCTAATTATTGTTAACACTGAGTTAATTCCAAAAAGGTGCAGCAAAAATTGAATTCCAAATTTGTCAATTGCGACAAACCTTTATTTATCATTGACTTTGCAAGGTATATAAAACGTACTTGTGCCCAAATTGCAAATATATTTCTATACGACGTACAGCTGATACTTGTCTTGCTGTCATATGTGTAGGGACAAAAAGTACATCCGGCTCTTTTTTGCTGCATAATGCACTCGGTCCAACATAGGGGATCCAGTCATTGCATTGGTCTAGGTAGTCGCGCAAAAATGACGACGGTAGCAGAGGACGATGTGCGTGGAAAATATTCTCTTATTTCTAGCAATGGACAAAAGAACTGCATGCTCAATTCTACTGAGAACAATCTTCTTTTGAAGAGTTTGTTCTACTGCCATCCCAGATTTATTGCAGTCCACAGCACATAGGCGTTGTAGGCCGAGGTGTCCAACATATATACTGGCACCCAAAAGAAACGTTACAAGGTAATGTAGGGCTTCCTCGCATAGCAGGAGTTGTGATGGCATTATATCTGTCTTTTGCTGAATAAGTCAACATCTCTTGAACATTATTAGCTCGCTAACCTTTGAGCGCTATACATGTGCCACGTCAGGAATATGTTTAATTAGGTTTTCTCCATGTCATATATAAAGTTCAGATTTCCGTAGACAAAAATGGGCTGTGTATTTCATACCGTCTCCGTAAAACATGAGACATATGCCAAGGCTAACACAGCAACAAAAGGACGAAAGAAGTCACGCGGCGTCCCGGATGGGCCCGGGTAGCCTAAACCAGATTGAATCCGCACTTTCCTAAAACTGGCAGAACACAAGACTTTGAGAATCACTGCACTTCTCAAGGGCAAGTGCTCTGGAAGTTTGTTCCAAGAAGGTCCAAGATGGTGTAACCCACGTTGAAAATGCACTACTATTGCAATCGGGTCAAACAGACCCGAGCATAACAGGAGGGGGTATCACAAATATTTCAGTAATGCTTCGTGAAAATGAGTTCGGCTATGAGGTCGTAAATATATTCGAAAAGTTAGGAAAAGTAAAAAAAATTACGATTTTTTCGATGAAATACATCGAAGCTGTATCAGGTTGAATGAGTGTTTCGGGTCATATAGACCCGAACAGAATAGGAAGGTTACGCGTTAAACACTCGAGAGTCGAAGTAGATGTTTCGGCAGGGTGAAGGGTGGAAGATGGATAGGGTGGTGTCAGCCTGCTGCGTCTCGTGTGCTCGGGTCCAAACCTTAGAGAGCTACTAATTTTAATTAAAGGTCCTTTACAGCTCGTACCATGAGAATCTTCTTCGTGCTTCTCAGTTTTTCTTAGAAAAAAGTATTTATTAATGTTGAAACAGCGAGAATAGATCATAGAAATGCTGAAAGCTGAAAACTACTTCTTATCGTGAAGAGAAAGGATATTTGCCGATTTAAGTATCTATGGAATTTTTTTTCGCGATAAATGATTTTACGAACTTCGTGTGATTGTGAAAATAATTTTTACCCCGCTCTTCCTCTTCGGAGTACAGATATTGCGAAGGCAAGCGAAGAAGAAGCGGAAGCCCCTGCAAACACCAAACGAACAGAAGCTGAAGAAACCGTTGAAGGCGGTCTCGGCAACTGCGGAGTCGAGTCGCCCCGACACGGCATCTCTCGTTCGTCTGAGCGAGAGAAACGGTCGAGGATTCAGCGGAACGAGGGCCCGCGTCGGTTCCGCCGAAGCGGATCCCAGCTTCGCCGCTTTCTGAAGCTCCGTCTCTCGTCCCACCGTCTCGTTCCTTTTCCTCCTTTCCCTTTTCTTCGTTTTTCGTTGAGTCTCACGATGAAGTGAAACAGACTCTGGCTGCTGAAGCGACCTGTGATAGTGTGGGGTAGTCTAGAAGACTTTCCGATTCATCCCTCCTCACTTCCTCTCGTCCAGGCATCCGGTTTCCAATCCCGACAAATCCTTGCAGTCTGGCTCTGAGCTGCTGGTTAAAACGTGCCAATGGAACAGTATGCCCAGACGAGTTTCGGAAGTGAGGTGCCACTCTTCATAGCCGTTCTCCTTCCTACGATTGGTTTGAGTGTCTTTTTTCTGTCTTTGAGGTGAAATGCATTTATTTCCTGCAAACGCTCAGGCGTCCTTTCATTTACGCCTGACTCGAACCTTCATTTCTCGGGCACCGTTTGTCACAAAAGAGGAAGAAATTAGTGAGCCAACAAAATACTGCTTACATAACGTGAAAATTTCATTACTGTAATTTTCTTCCAGGGTGAAACTGACATCCTTGCATTCTACCAATGAGGTCACGAAGTGTCACTTAAAAGCCAACTAAGAAACTAAGAACGAGTTTGTTTTCATAACTATGCATACTGCCCAGTTTAATGTTGAAGTGAAACTGAATATGAGCTTGGAGGTTCTGTAGTGCATCCATGACCAATTGCCTTCCTCCAGTTCGGCGCCAGGCTTGTGCCCTGGAAGGGGTTGGAATTTATAGCATTTCTCTTCCTCGCGTGTCCCTTTATCTTTAAGGAAGGAGAATTGTGACAGCACAAGTGAGGACAAACTGGTGGCCTTCTTGTAATCTATGGCTTCGCCACGATTCCGCTGTCGAGAGGGATCAAGGGTCAACCACTTTCCCTAAATCACTTGCCTTAATTAGTATCATCCTTCTGACCACTCAGCATCTGAGTTTACCGTGACGAGGACGGGCCTGGAATACGGGTCGCTGGAATAAGCGCGAAAAGAATAACGCCGAACTGGAATACTTCCGAGAGGAAAAAGCGCTGATCAGAATAATGTCGACTAGAAGTACGCCGACCAGAATAACACATAATAATGTCGAAAAGCCATTTCCTAGATTAAAGGACTCTCCCGACTAGAATAACGCCGTCACAGAATGAGAGCGAAAGTTACGCTAAAGTTCAGAGGAACGCCGAAAAGAATAGTGCCGAAACGGAATAACGCCGACACAGAAAAGAAGCGACACAGAATAACATCGACAGGAAATAAGTCGGCACAGAACAACATCGGACTGGAAATGCATCGACACGGAATAAGTTAGACAGTAAGTGCATCGACACGGAGCACGTCGAAAGGAATTATCTCGACAAAATTTCTACTCTGGATAAATCCGACAGAAGTACAACGACACGGAGTTACTTCGACAGGAGCTTACCCGGATTTGCATAGAAAATAAACATTCAAGACAGGAACTACGCCGACATAGATTAACACCGACAAACTACCATAGTTGAAGGTGGTGGTGGCGATAGCATCACGTCGATGTCGTGAATATTGTGGGCAAAATATGTGTGGGCTAGGTGACTAGCGATGCTTTATTCCATCATATGCAGAATGTGGGGAAAAAAATTTGGCAAATGCACAGTCGATTGCACAAAATTCAAAATCGAGAATTTGGGGGGGGGGGGGGGCCACAATGGAATAGTTATGGAAACTATTGAAAACAAGCATGGAAACAAGTTCAATTAATTGTTTGATTTGAGAGAGTGAGAGAGAACGGTCTGATTCCTTAAGAAAAATTCTGAAAAAATTACCAATTACTTGTCTACACTGGACATTTACCGTCTTGCGCAATTATGACTAAAGCATACATAGCACACATCGTGTGGCCGCAAGGGAGGAGGGCAGAATCTCTATCCTGAGTCGTGCAGATGTCGCATACGGACCCTGGTGGCAGGGGTGGGCTGTTGCATTTCCTCAACGTGACAGAAGAGAACTGGAGATTCGGATACCCATTCTGAAGTGTGATTGCTGGCATTATTTTCTAATGGGAAGTCAGGAGATTCAGGCCTGGGAGAAGATGAGAAATGGTTCACGTGCACTCCCATTTCAGAAAGCACAAGCCCTTGAGAATTGGGCATGTGTGCAGCGTAGAGGTTATCATCTGGGGAATGGGATCGTTGGAAAGCTGAGGGTGGTGTATGTGCTGACAAAATGCGCTGGAATAGTGTTAGTGAATAGTGTCACAGACGTAGTGGGTCCGTTCTGCGTCTTAGTCAAACCCTTCCTGGAAGCAGGATTTACTGGACCGCCTTAACCACTGTATTTATCCGTTTATAGATACATAGGACAATAACAATCCCTTTGTGCCAGTGGTGCAAACAGCCCTAAAGTTTGGGGGGGGTTCGGAGTTCACACGTTTCCGAATGCAGAAGGTGTTATCAAATCATCAGGAGAGATATACTCAACAAAAACGCGAAACGGCGCGAACACACGAACAAAGAAAATGAAACGAAGAAAAATGTTATGAAATGGTGGAAACGGAATTTGAACACTAAATGATGAAATACTGTTACGGGGGGGGGGGTGTAAAAGTGACGGGACAACGGAAGGCATGAAAAGCCGAAAGAAAGCCAGGAAACGGCCGGGACTTGAACCCGGGCCTCCTGATTGCCATTCAGGTGTGGAAGTGGAGAAGATCAGGATTAGCTCTCTTCCTTAATCCTTAGTTATACCGTAGTTATACCTAAAGTAGACCTTAGTTATCTAACGTCTTAATTGAAAGTGGCTTCGTGCGACATCTTTCCAGCGCCACTTGAACCACTGCCATTCCTGATAGGAAAATAATCGACACGAAAGCAGTTCAACAAGAAATGCTATGGCACAGAATGGCGTCAACACGGAAATGCGTCGACAGAAATAGACCGAAACAGATCTGCTCCGACAGATGACTTTCGGATTTATACCGACACGGAACATCGAAAGTAACAGCGCCGACACGGAATTACCTCAACAGGATTTTCTCGTGTCGAGATACTTTTGTGTCAACGTTGTTCCTGTCGAAGACATTCCGTCGCTCGCAGGTGTCGAAGCAGTTCCGTGTCGATGCTATTCTTTTCGATGTTATTCCGCGACACCAGTTCAGAAAAATGAATAAAAGTTGAAGGCGGAATAACACCAACAAGAACAACGCCGACTGGAAGAGTTCCGAATGGAATAGCGCCAACCCGGAATAATGTCGAAAATCCTAAGCAGGAGGGGTCCTTAGTTTTTACTGCATAGAAGAGATGTCGCATAATTCCTGAGGGGTCATTTATCGTCTTTTCCGAACGTTGCAGTAATTGATGGAGGATTTCGTTAAAATCAACGGAAGAATTTACATTATTTTGTCATTTAAAATGTAGTACTCGTTAACGGCTTTATTATTTGGGAAATTTTTTTTGCATTGTTTGTATAGGACGATGAAGTGGTTTGCTAGTGTAGTTAAGGTACTAAGGGAAGATGAAAATCGACCACCCTAGAATCAAATTCTGGCTTATAATTATTGTAGAGAACCCCAAGGGAGGGCCTTGGAGCCACTTTTTGGCACTCTCAGGTCAAGCACCTGACCGTGGCAAATGGTCAAAGGTCACGATTTGCATGCCTCTCTTCGAAAATCTGTATCTCCGCAACCCTTGGTTGCAGAAACCTCAAATTTGCGTCATTCTCCTCGCCACAGAACAAGTTAAATGATGAGCCCAAATACGTGCCCGTATCTCTGCTCCCCGAGACGCTGTGGCGTCATTTGTGAAAATTCGAGTTTCGCGAATTCGCTTCTTCCCTCGCTCATTCTCCGAAGAAACATTGTATCGTGAAAAGCATGCTCCAGTTTTTAGAGACCGTCCCCATTCGTCAAACAATGACACGTGCTCCCATACTCAACAATGGGCCGTGGAGGTCTGTCTCGCTTCTCCCTTCTTTATCTCTAAAATGTTTAGGTTTACGAAAAATTCTGTCCCAACAAGTTTTGTTGTCCAGAGTCTGCCCTAACCAGTGGTATAATTTGTTTTCGCTTTTTGACCATACTCGAGTTAGATAAACGTACGAAAAAAATAATGCCTCTATCATGCACCTCTCTTTCCATCAGACGTCGTCCTTCTCCCACCTACATCTTGACAATGTTATGCTTGACGAAAAATCACTTTCAGATAAGACTTGTAGTCTAGATTCCACTCTAACTGGTGGAATATATGTTGAAGTTGTGCGCCTTCATTTTAGTTTTATATTCCGTCATCCATCCTCAATCTCACCTCTCCCGGGAGATCAGGCAACGTTCCGCCTCTCTGGAGCATCTCCAAAATGGCCCGTTTCCTGAAAGATCCTTTTCAGACAAGATTTCGGAGCTCATTTTAGGCCGCGGTGTACGTTTCGTTGCTATTTTGTCCTGTTTTATCCATCTAATGTATGTTAGAAAGTGAACGGTGAACATGCACTCGCACTCTATCAACACCGATATGGTGTTGATTCCATTCAATGCTCGAATTCATTTGCTGTTAGGCTCATCTTTTTTTATTATTCAGGACACACATCTTACCTCATGGCGGTGGCGGCTCGTGGTTCACGCTGTAGGGTAGACCAGTGACGTAGCCAGGGAAAGGGGCTGTCTTGGCTCCCATCCCTCTTTCCCCCTAGCTTACATAAGGCTTTCATAAGACTTCATTGGCCCTCCGAAAAATGAGACTCTCGCAACACTCCTGGGTTAAAGCCCAGGATGCTAAGAAAATATGTGACCGAAACCCGGAAAAGGATTTTTAAGCGTGCGAACGAAGTAGGGCGCTCTGACCGCCAAGTGTAGAGGGCGCCCAAAGCGAATCTACTTTTCTCGGGACAATTCCAACCTGAGCTGAGAGAGTCGTTACATGTCGCCAGGAGAGCAGTCTTGGCAATCATCGCTCTGCCACTACTACATGTTGGACTTCGTCTGTTTCAGGCCTGTTCCAGAATTCCCAGTTTTTTCTCCTTCACCATCACTTCTTATTGCAATCTGTCGTTCGTCGAGTCGTGAGCTTCTGGGATTGAATATGTTTATTCTCTTCTTTCCTGCAACTATCATTGCTCTGAATTGCTTCCAAACTATTAATTTCAAGTTTATTAAAGGAGTCATTAGTGCTCTTATCATAGATAGTGTATAATGGAGGGGCCTCCCCTATGGCGCCCTATGGCGCCACCCTTCCAGGCGCGGCCGCCATCTTACTGAAGTCGCACGAACAAGGTTTTTCATAGCAGACACATGGAGAGTCGGAGGGCCAAAGAGGCAACTTGCCCCGGGCTATATGCCTGGGGACCTCCACCCAACCAATCACGTTATGCGGAACCGTCCCAAGATGGCGGAAGCACTTGTAACCAAG